AGCCCAAAACCCCAACCCGAGCCTCCAACAACCCAAACCGCTCCCCTCCCACCTCAACCGCCATCCTACGGCCTTCTCGGGCGGAAAAAAAGCACTATGGGAATAAATTATGCATCAGGCCCTTCTGCCGTGATGCAGGGTGTGCGGGGCTGACAGGCCCGGTGCCACGAGTGGGCAAGGCTGTAATCAGCTGTCTGCTCCACTCAGGGTAATGAAAGGGAGGGATCAATCCGAATGGAACACGCGTGTGTGCCGTCGCCGGGCGCCACCGTCCACCGCTGGGGCCTCCGGGCAACTGCTGCGTCTTCTGGTCATTCTTTTGGTGGGGAGGGGGGTGAGGGAGGTCGAAATAATTTTGAGAAACGGAAGGAGAAACGTAAAGCGTAAAAATGTTGAAACACAACAAATTGATATTTTTTTTAAAAAAATCTGCCGTTGTCAATATTTGTCTGCCGAGTTTGGTTAAATAAAATCTGTAACACACTGCCATATTGAGAGCAGACTTTTTACCCATCTGAGATTTGACATCAGCCCCCATAAAAATAATTAAAGGAATATTCTATATATAAGCTGTGTGCATGTCAGTGGGATTATTATGTTTAAAGGCAATTAAACAAGCTGTGAATATATTAAATAGTGATGTATCCATTTAAAGCATTTGTAATGCAATGTAAAGACAGGAAAAATTATTGATTAATTGACACATACAATTATGTTGATACTACTTTTTTCATTTTCACCAACAGCATGTGCATGGGGCTTTCCGTTTATACGGGCTGTAATTCATCCATGAGCAACCGAGGTTGATCCTCGCCTGTGCAAACTTAACCTGCATGTCAGCTCAGTAACTAACAATCCTAAACCAGCCACCGAATAGCTTGAGGCTGAATGCTGCATTCCCTCTAACGGTGGGCGGTGTTGCAGATGCGCTTCGTCCACACTTTGCTGACACACCTTTCCGTGGTGGGAGATTTCCTTTGTGCCGGGCCCAGCTGCTGCTGACTTTCACAGTCCGGGTCGTGATTCACCTCCCATATTCGAGTGCCCAAGGTGGGACTGGCCAACATGTCCAGCTTGTAGATTTACCCATACTCGTTCTCAAACCGGCCGCAGCTCTGGTGCTTTGAGATTGCAAAGCACCATCGGGGTATATTACAAGTACAGCATTTCCAAAGAGATATTGTGTCTCGGTGCAAAAGAACGATTGCATATCATTGGGGTTTTATCCACTTTAAAGGGCTTGATTGCTAGTGCTCTCCGACGTGCCAATCAAACATCCGGTAGAACCCAAAAACACATTGCAGAGCTATGCAGCACATCCACGAAAACCTACGTAGCGGTCTTTGTTTGCTATCTGCATTTATATACGTGGCATACAAAGAAAGCCACTTGATCTCACATTTTCTCTCGCATGGCTCTAATGTACTCTATTTAAGAAGCCCACTTTATGCGCATATTTTTTAAAGGCCGATTGGCCGAGTTCATATTTTTCAGACCGCAACGAGCCCGCATAAAGCAACACGGCTGGGGAGTCATCAGAGGTGTCTGTGGTGTCTGACAGGCTAACACCAGTGCGCGCCTGCCGCATAACGATAACTCAGTCACGTTCCAGCGGATGATGAAATTCGTCGTGACCCCATTACGGACACAGCGCTGACAGTTTAACCACCATTAAAATTGTATATCTCTTCAGAACTATCGATTTCTCCGCTCACATCGGGCACACGGCTAAACTGCAGCTGTCATACAGACATCATGAAAACAGCATACATCACGGTGAATGGAGCGGTTAAGTAAAATGCCCGGTAATGGCTTCGCTTAGAGAGCCATTCTCGGTGCTAGACATTTAATAGCAGTAATTTTTAAGCCAAAACTTATATATATAAAAATGCACACACAACATGTGTTTGATATAAAAATAGAAGCTTAAAACATTGAATTAAAATGGTAATATAAATTACAAAACTACAAAAATTATGTCTCTCAATACATTTCATAAAGGACACAAAGAAGAATGTAGTTGATACCCAATTGCAAAGCACCATAGTTGATTTCATTATATATAAAAATGTTGCCATGTACTCAAAACTTAAATAAAATCTGGTCATATTGCTTTCGTGTTGTAATAGATATTTTGCATGACGAAGGGAGAAATTGATCTGTCCAGTGTGCCACAGGTATGTGTGCTATGTTCATAATGAGGACATTCCAGTTAACATTCCTCGGACAAGCAGTCTCAAAAAGGGAGCTAGTCTTGGTGAGGCATCACAAACCGGTATTAAACATAACCCAAAGAGACGCTGGGGGATGGGCCCATGCAAAAATGTATCCCTCTTGAGGTATTGATTACGCTCCAGCTGGAACATAATAATTGTCTTCAAGCTGTATTATAGATACACTAAGTGGGATGGAGATGTGAGCTTATTAAAATAGTATGCTCAAAGTCTTTAAAACTATTATGTGAAAACCCATAGCTATAATGTAGCAATTACGAACCAAAAAATGTACCGCTCCTGTTAGGATTATTATGTTTGTATGAAAATAATGTAAGTTTAATTTTCAAAAGACATTTTTAATTGACACTGAATAAGTTTAATGTGAGCATATCCCATATACGATTCAAATATTTATTATTTATATTATTACGTTCAGGAAAATCCTTAATGTATGCAATCTCGGTGCAGCTGTTCAATCCTTGTAATTTTGTATTTTTTACATAAAATCTAAAACATTTATTTTTGCATTGGTTGATTCAAACATGGATGACCACATGAATTTCCCAAAAAAATTGGCTTGGAGACAAACATGAAAGGAGTAGGTATATCTCAGATTTGCTGATGACATTACCATAATTACAACTTATGAGAAATAAATACAGGATATTATTGAAGAACTTGACTAAGTAGGTTGCAAAATTGAGCTAAAATACACATTTGAACAACAATTTCATGGAAGAAAAAATCGTTCAAGGGACAATACTGGAAAATACAACAATGTGTATCCCTAGGGCAATTACTGATGGCTTGCTGGAATAATATATAATTAAATCAAGAGGTGCACAAGAGCAGGTTCGAGTACTTTTTGGAAATATGTGATTATGAAAAGCAACACAACAATGCACCTAAAATAAGACTAATTTTAATCAGTGCACATTACCTGCTACATATAATGCATGGATGAGAAACATGGACACTGGCACACATTTTTTATGAAAGCTGAAAAGTGCACAAAGGAACGTGGAGAGGCACGCTTGAAATGGCAATGAGCGAGACAATATCAGAGAACAAAGAAATTAGAGCCAAACAAGCAAATGTTATTGACTGTGAAATAAAATTGGCCTTAGGCAGAACACATCGCAAGAAAGGCATGATGACCATTGGTTGTGACTGATAACAGAACGGCAGCCAATGGAGAGAACAATGGAGCAATGAGATCAGCTCATGTACAGGACCTAGATGAAATGTGGCATCGGGAAACCTTGAGAAATGGCGATAATTTTAGTTGTCTCTTTGGCACAGTTTGCTCCGTAAGTCTAAATAACATTAGCATATATTTTTTACGTCATTTGTGTGGACTTTAACTAAATACAATTTCAAGCAAATGATTCGATTAATGTGTCGTCAGCTTAAATATCCAATTCAATCAATATACCGTTATACGCCAAGTGCGTACTTACATCAAGGCCCCGCATCCCGCACTGGATTATTGTCGGTTATGAGAGCAGCTCACAGCACCAAATCACCTTTATGGAGAAAATGGATTCCCCTGCTGCTCATTCTTCAGATCTGTGCACCTTCGATGGTGTTTTGAGGCCACAGTTATCAAGAACGAGCAGTGGGTCGCTACATTTGTTAAAGGAGTCGCTTGGTGTTGCGAATCCGACGAAGCAGCCCCCTGTCATCCTCTGACCTCGTGTGAGCGGCGTATCTGTATGTAAAATGAACGTGACAAAGCAGTACAAAAATAATTGTTTATTTAATATATATATAAAAACATATTATGATTGCCACTAGCTGTGCCCTTGATTAATATGTAATTGTTTATGTTTTTTAAAGTTAGTTTTAATACACAGTATAGGGATGCTGCCATCGTGTAATTGTTAGCACACCAGACTTGAATTCAAAAGATCGCCAGCTCGATTCGATCTCCCGGTATAGCATGACGCAATGGGCCAGGTTCTGAAATCCCCCGGCCTCTGTCCACCCGGCGGTATAAATGTACACGCCAGTTAGGTGAAAGGCAGGTTGTGTGTGGTGGGGTAGAGGGTAAGTACTTCCACTTCTTCCAAGATGTCTAGCCACCATAGAAGAATAGACCATGATATTATTCAGAAGGGCTAGTGGAGGGCTGTACCTTTTCGTTTAACACGAACATATGGAGATTCAGGGCGAAATAATTGTCAAATGGCTGTGGATGTCGACTGATCTCTTGTTTAAAGATATTACTTCCCATTGAATAATTATACATTTGATTTTTTTGTACTTACATTTCACTTGACTTTTTTATCTGAACATTAGTTTTCGTTTTTTTCCTTCTAATTCAGATTTTAAAATGACACTGAAAGCTATCACTACAGAAAAAAAATGTATGCAGTCTGGAAACAAATAGATTTAACAGTCCACGAAAGTGTATATTGCATACTCTTTGGTTCTTTCGGTAAAGTCACGTGACTTTACCGAAAGAACCAAAGAGTATGGATTCCTGCAGTCACGTAAGCTTCAAATCAAGATTGTGTATTGCATGTACAACACCTCTCAGCATTATTCCAACCACCAACTCAAAATAACTGAATAAGTACCCATTTTTCACATTGAGCTTTTTTCAGCTGGTCACATGTAATGCACTCCTTTGTACATTGTTAAATCTGTTGTTTTCTATGAGCTTATTTCATGCAGTTGAATATAATTTCATAAGATGTAACGTATCCTGAATATATAGTATATATTGACTGCCATCGTTGTTGTCTTTTATCAATATTACCATTATTATTATTTCTGCAGCTACCTCCTCGCTGAATGCTCAAATCCAGCAGTTGCACCAGTTACAGCAGCTGCAACAGCAACAACAGCAGCAACAGCAGCAGCATCAGCAACAGCAACCTCAGACTCAGCAAGCAAAACATGGAGCATCCCCGCGAAAATCCTCGTCAGCTGCCAACCCAAGCCAGCCGCCATCCAGCCAAGGCAGCAGCCTTCCCGTAAAACGCACGCTTAAGTCCACACTCGCAAGCCTTCTGTTTTCGCACCACATTTTGCTGTGATTCTCCGTACCCGAGTTGTGGTACCTGGTTACTTTGTAGTCAAAATGGTATGAGCCTGTGTACTCAGCGCATTCCATTTGGTAGTAGGCAGGCATTTCTATACACTTAAAAATACTCAAAACATAAAAGCATTTGTTTCGTTTTTTTACGTATATGAATTATTTATACGCATATGTGAAGCTCATGGGATTCTTTTTTAACAGGTATCTAAATTTAAAATGTCCTCTTTTTTCCCCCTAATATAAAAAAGCCTTACTAATGCTTTCTGAAGCAATTCAGTGCATTAATGCACGGCTGAGTTGCAATTTATATGTATAAGATTCAGACGTATGCTTTACTCACAGCCGGACACTACCCACACTGCCCCCAAAGTGTGCGGTTGCACAAGTGGAAAGAAGTCTTCTCCCAGGACGCTCCGCTCCTTCCCACGAACACATCAGTTCCAGAAATCAACATGCCCACTGAGCCGCACTAGGGGTCGATATTTGGGCGTAGCAGTGTACTCCCCGCGCGGATATTTTAGGGCTTTCTTACCAGCACCTTTAATGGCGTTCTTGTGTTCAGGAAGGAAAAACCACTGAAGTCACAGTGTCAGATTTTTCTTTCTGGCGAGGATAGGAAAACGGGGTGAAGAGGGTTGATCCGAGGCGAGCGCATTGTGCAGTTTCTGGATGTCATGGCTGGTTAGCTTCTGTGTAGTGGCTGAGTTCACATGGTCAGTTCCCAAAGAGACATTGATGAGAATCCTATGACCACTTAGGAAAGGGCCAAACAATCTCGGTCAAAGGCAGCTTAATAATGATGCAGGAAAATTGAGTTCATCGTAAAGGAAGAAGAAGAAATGTGTCTGAAAACGGTATCTCTGGGGCTGAAGTAACACGCCGAGGATTTAAAAGCGGCGTAATGTTGCTCTGATGTGGGTGCTCGAGGATTTGTTGTGGCATCTTCACACGGGTCCAACCGGCAGTGCCAAACACTTTGATGAATATTTCAAGAGCAGGCCTGAGACATAGCGGATTGATAGGCCATGATAATGGGTTATACTTTGAGGCCTGCTGACTGATCAAAAAGTGACTTTTGAATTATTTTTCCTGTTACACTGTTCAACCCGTTGTGTCCTTCTCACGTATGCGAGTGTCCTTGTCGGGTTTTTTTTTGCTTCAACGTGTGCCTCAAGTAACCGATCAATAGCCAGCTACAACTGTATACAGTGGGACCGACTTAATATTGTGCGTTTCATTTCCCGGCATGGCTGACAATAAGTGCAGTTAACGTTAAAGGGCATTACGCCAATAAGGGTGTGCGCCGAAATGTCATGATTTCTTTGTACGACAATAAACATGGGATGTACGGCAGTGAGGCAATATCAGGCCACACTGCAGTATAAATGTATTTGTGTGTAATACATGGTCATAGACTACTGACATTTATATTTTTTAAAATGTCTTCTTTACACTATAACCCACATCATATAACACGGCTTTTTACAATACGTACAGAACTATTACTAACCTCAGCATCACATTCATTTGTTGGCACCAAGAGCCTCCAATAAATTAGATCCCCTTGAAACCCTCAAGGCTCGCTGTGTTGTGGCATATGCAACTAGCCTCATTCCAAGCCAACCGCATGCACATGTAGATGCCGTCCGGCACACAAGGGGCTCGCGTGGTGGGGAAGTTAAAGAGGCCTGCGTGTGGCGCGGCTGCTCTCCCCGGCAGCTCGTGGGAGGCCCTCTCACGTCTCCGGCGGCGGTGGCCGCGGTGGCGGCGGCTGTCGCGGCCTCGGGGTCTCTGCCTTCCAGCGCTCACATTTTCGCCGGCGCGCTTGCCGCGGGCCTGCCCGGGGTGGCGGGTCAGCTCATCACGAACGCACAGGGGCAGGTATGTGACTCGCAGCTGGGCTCTGCTATCATCTACAGCCAAAGCTATTGCGAGAATTCATGCCTTGACCTATAGCCAGATATGCATGTAATAAGTGGCTGCTGCTGTTCTTTTCTGCTCGATTATAACTGTTATTTTAATGAGTTTGTCACGATGAAAACTCTGTTGTCATGCACTAGGTTAATGACATTCTTGATTTGCTCAATGAAGTGTATTGTTAAATTTTGATTTAAAGCTTTCGTGACTGCAGTAATTCATATTCTTAGCTCTTTCGGTAAAGTCACGTTGAAGGGAAACAATAAAATAATAAAATATATATAAAACAACAAAAATTCTCACGACGTTTCGACCATAACACAAACGGTCATCATCAGGTGTGACTTTACCGAAAGAGCTAAGAATATTAATATAAGTGTATTGTTTTTTGGAGTTTCTTCATGGCCTATACAATTATTTCAGTCATTAAAACGATCATAGATTGGCTGCGTGCATAGCCATTTTTGAAGCCACATTATTATTGTAATTTCTGTTGCCTAATTAAAAATAAAGCATGGCACTTTATGAAAGAGGTGTGGAGCTCACACCACGTGAATTTTATTAAATCACACGAACACGTTGTACCTCCACTCTTAATAATTATTCACGGCTTGAATTGGGTTACATTTTTGTTTTAACCTAACCAAAAATGTGCACGTTCTACCTAATAAAGTATTAAAGCTTTCGTGACTGCATAAAATTACTCATTGGTTTTTTCAGTAAAGTCACGTATGTAGAAATACAATAAAATTATATTAAAACAAAAAACAATCACGACGTTTCGATCACAACGCAAGCGATCTTCATCAGGTGTCAAGAACAAATCACGGAGGTAAATACAACAAAAAGATGAGAGATGAGAATTCAACACACCTGAAAAAACATTATGTGAAGCACATCCATTCAGGCCAACAACACAGTTAGACACTTCCTGGTGGACCACGAATTTCAGAAGTGTTAAATTTCGTGTTCAACCTTTGGATTGCACATACCAGCATAGATAGAATGAAAAATACGAGGTACACGGTCAGTAGAAATAAATATACAAGTCCACCAAGAGGTAAGGAGGGAGGAAAGACGGACAGGGAGGCAGAGAGAGAGGGGGGGGGATGAACAGAAGCTTAAATAGGAAATACGGTTGGAGGGGGGTAGGGGCCAGAGCGAGAGCGGCAGCTCAAACACGCACATCTTACACATACAAAACGGCAGCTCAAAAAGGACCACCTCTTGTAATATATATTATATATATTACAAGAGGTGGTCCTTTTGAACACGAAATTTAACACTCTTCTGAAATTCGTGGTCCGCCAGGAAGTGTCTAACTGTGTTGTTGACCTGACTGGATGTGCTTCACATAATGTTTTTTCAAGTTTGTTGAATTCTCGTCTCTCATCTTTTTGTTGTATTTACCTCCGTGATTTGTTCTTGACACCTGATGAAGATCGCTTGCGTTGTGATTGAAACGTCGTGATTGTTTTTTGTTTTAATATAATTTTATTGTATTTCTACATACGTGACTTTACCGAAAAAAACAATGAGCACGTTCTACCTACTTTATTTTCTTCCCACAGGGTCCGAATGTGCACCCTAAATGACGTAGAACCCCCCAGCTATAAATCCTGTGACCGTGACAAAGGAAGCAAGCTCTTGTGGGCAGGTGGAGAGTGGGTGGAAAAAGCGGTGCTTTTCACTATTTTCGTACTCAATAATTTAACCAGGTCTGAAAAGACCACGGCCATTTTCTTAGATTTTTTTTTAATATTCTAATTAAGAGAGAGTGCAACAGAGAGCCCACGTTTGCGTGTTTTAACTCTTGCTCGTGATAGCTCAGTAATTGGCAACATGAGTGGCGTGTTGCGGGCCGCCGTGCAATAGATTAGGCGGCGGGAGGCGCTGCCTAGTTATGCGCCCATCGATCGCCAAGTGTGAATAGCTCCCCACGTAGGACTTTGTAATTAACTTAATGGAGGCTTGCTCATTAGCCCATGAATGGCACGCATGCATGTGTTGAAAGCTGCAACCGTTTATTTGTTATTTTCCATGCCGTCTAATTAAATTTCGATTGAATACAAATCTGCTACAAATTCCCCATCTTCATGATTACTATTCACACGGAGTCTGTAAGTTACGTGTTACTGTATATTATGAAGGGATTTGAAAAATTGATTCGTTGGGAGTTTTTCGTGAGTATAGCATCAATCTTGCATAATACGGACGGCTTTTTAACACGTAGGCTTTCGCGACCAATATCATCCATGATAGAAACAGGTGGACTTCCCCACAAATCTGGCTGTCGCCTGATGAAGCTAGTTGTAATTACTGGCTAAACGTCGTACTCAGATTGTAAATGTCGTGGCTTGGCTCTCCTATACACCGGTGTGCTGTACTAGTAACGAATTGGCTTGTTCTGTTTATTGACAACTCTTACTAGTTGGCTGTGTCGGCTGGTGGCGGGTTTAACGACACATTTATATATTTATGCGATCTAACCCAAAAAAAACTCTGATGGATGGATGGCTTTGTACTAAATCTGTTAAATAACACACCTTACTCTGAAGATATATTCACATTAGAAATGAGTGGCTTTTAATTCCTAAAATTATTTGAGAATTTAAATATTCTCAGCCAGATGTATTTGTAATGAATCATTTAATTTCCATCAATAAATAATGGTGTAACAGGGGGAAAAAACTTGTAAAATGGCAAGAAAATACCGACACAAAGTGCTTTTAGTTGGAGTTATAATTATGAATAAGACATGCAATTCAAAGCAGGAATCTTACAGCTAGAGATGAAACATAATGTACCCATCTAAGAAGGCTTTTATATAAATATTAACTTTTACAAAACACGACCTTAAATCATTGACGGCACGCGCGCTCTCTTTGGCTGGTACAATGCCACCGACTGATGATAATTATTGCATTAGTTCTATATAAATACTTAAATGCATTAGTATGAAACTGCCGCTTCAGCAATGTGTAATGTATTCTGCTACCCTAGCCCAGTGATTTGATTGGATTAGACACTTGGTGCTAACAATCGTATACCGTAAACAAAACTGCCGTGTTTATCGCCTGCACTGTGAGCATTATAGCTGACAAAACGTCACGTGCACTACGCTGCTTGATACAAATGTTCGTGATTGTACTTTAAGGGAGATGCAACGCAAAGTAGAAAATATCTAATATTTTAAGTAGCATGCTTAGGCTGCGGGCGATAACTGACCGTTTACGTATTAATACTGTATGTCATTGCAGTGACGGCGTGAGAGCAAAAGCTTAAAGTGACTTAAGTGTCTTTTTTTCTCATTTACAAAGCTTTAAACTGCGCTAGGGAGCCTAATACACTGCCGGTATGTGTCGTCAAGGCATTTTATATTATGGGTTGCGTATTACTTTAAGTTGTGTTTGATGAATGGATACCAAGAGGAAAGTAATTTATGAAAACATATCTCCATTCTGTAATTTCAATAAATATCATTACACAACAATAAACAGTGGCAGTAGGCATTAGTTGACATTTGCTATTGGAATGTCACCTCGCGAGTAACTACAACACGGTACATGCTGGATGGATATGTAAATGCAACTGCATCTCAGTGTAGCTGTGTCATCTCTGTAAATAGTTTAGATCGTTTCTATATGTATTGCATTTTGTTACTGTATTTTATTTAAGGCCTCGTTCATTGAGAGCCTGGATGATTGCATTAGTTTCTGCCTTCTCATGGTCGACAAAAGCCAGCCATAATGGTATTTGAGATTTGTCTGAATGTGATTTGTAGTTGATTTGATAAAAAGTAACACAAATAACATGAGGAGTCATGCGATAAGATACGCCCTCACCAAAGGCTATTTATTCATGGTCACATTCGAATATATACTGTAAATGTAAAGGCAGCCAGACCTCCCCAAACGCAGGGGTTACGTTCCTGGAAAATTATGTTGGGCAAAACCTTGTCCAACGAATAATAAACCTTTATGGGAAAATAGAGCTGCGTTTCTGTTGTCCAAAAATGATCACTCCATGCCTCTTAAATAATTTTATGTTTTACACCCTTGTTATTTGTAAAAAAAAAAGGATGCTGAGTCGCTCTCCATTTCTAGTGTGTGTGTACACTCTTTATAATTCAATGTCACCTCAACACCCTATCCCCGTCTCCATTGTCTCCATTCTTTGGAGACAATGGCCCGATCTCTGTCACTTTAAACGTTCACGATTCGCCATCGAGGCGTCCGTGTGACTGAACGGCCCAAAACGAGTGGACGACTAGATGCATGCGGCGCGATATGCGAAAGTGTCGTTGTGCATGTGTGTGAGCGCGTGTTACATTATCACACGAGAAAAAACACACAGACCAAAACATATCCATCGTCTAGAAATCGTTCTCACAGTCGATTCATTCACACCTCCCAACGGATGCAGCACTATCACGGCACTACGTGTCGAGCCGAAATATCACCCCCGTGTTCAGGAAAACAGACCGTGTGGTAAGGAGCCGAAAAACGCGTTCGATAAATCCGTGCTGGGTCAAGGTTTTCATTTAAATAAACGAGCTATATTAGATTTGTTGAAGACCTACTGATTATAACGGCCAAGGGAAGTTAATTACAGGCAAAATATAGAAGGATGTAACAGAGTAAACTGCAGGGTGGGGTTCAGCAATTTGAGCAAAACAAAAGTTATGTACAAGTTTGTTGGACAAAATAAAATAATTGTTGGAGGAACACAACTGGAAAACACAACAGACAATGTATAATTATGGCAGTTATTGAAGGAACTTTGAAGTGCTTTTTGGTAAATAGTTTTTGATAACAAGAAGCAACATACCATGGTTCCTACAGAGGAAAATTTTCAATCAGTGTAAATTTTCTGCTATGGCATATGGATGTTGACAAAGATAACAGAATAAAAGTTGCAAACTGTGCAAAGAAGCATTGAAAGGTGCATGCTTGGCATTGCATTTAGAGACACAAACGTAAAGACATGGATCTGGAGAAAAAATGCAAATTAGTAGGGGATGACTGCTCAGAAAAGTGAGTTTAGTTAGGAGATAAAGTAGGCTTGAGGAGTAGAAGGGATAATGGCTGATGGATGAGACTGGCGACGGAATAGCAGCCGAAGGAGCGAACACGGCCGAGCTCCAAAACCATGGAGATGGAGCTATGAGATTATCACATTTGCATGATACCAAGATGTACCGCAGGATCGCAGTGCCGTGAGAGATGGCGACAGAGCAGGGGGGCAAGCCTTCATCCAGCAACGGATTGGCCCTGGCTATTGATAATGATTAAATGATGATTAACAAGCTTTTATTGGTACTGGCCACATTCGTCACTGTCATCACATCGATTTATTCTGACAGATAATGCTTTACCTCCTACGCTTAGTTCCCTATCACTGCCAGCAGCAGTCTGCGCGGCACACTTCCTGAGGCACCAGCAGAATGTGCATGGAATGATGGGGGTTCTGGCATCTCACGGCTTGCGCGTCCCAAACACTTCAGGGCGCACGAAGAAGCGGGAATGAAAACACCATGGTTTCGGCTATTTAATGCGTGACAACAACAATAACAAAAAGCCCCGTGACAAGTTAAACGCCGCGATGATCTCTGACCGATAGCGCCCGTCTTCCCACACAGCTCATCGGGACCATCCCACTTGTCGGTGGAGGGGGGTCAGGCACCGGCGCAGCGGGGATGGGCGCCACCGGGCTGCCTCTGAGCCCCCAGCTCCTCACCAACACCCAAGGCCAAGTGGTGGCCATGCTGGTGGGAAACCAGATCCTGCCGGTCCTCAACCCGCAAGGCCTCACGCTATCCCCAATGAAGGCACCTGGGCAGCAGCAGCAGCAGCAGGTGCACGCTTGAACTGGACACTGCACATTCTCACGATACCATAGAAATTAGAAAAAAAAAACATTTTAGAGTTCCTTACCATAGTTTTTTTTTTTTTAAATGCTTACAGCCCTGGCTCAATTCAAGAAACGTATTAACTATGATCAATTACACCTTTAAGACGTACTGTTTGTCACTCGCCACTTGGCATGTCTGTGCTCAATAACCTTGATGAAAGAAAAGTCTCAATTATTGGGGCTAATATGGGGAGGGGTGGCCTGGATAAAAAAAAACACGGATAATGCAAAACATACGCATATTAGGCTATACAACAATCATTGTTCACTTACAGAGTAGATGTCCAGTGTCATCTGTTTTATTTCTTTGCTTCTCAAAGTGATTGGTTTACCTGCCGACATGTTTGTGGTCATTGAATCACTGACACTCGATGAGAAAGGAGCGACTAAGAATTAATTAATTGTGGACTAAAAGTGTTTTTGTTGTTCTCGATACCACAGTTAACCCTCCATCCACAGGTAATTGAGAGATAACTCCATCGTGGAGGTGGCTTGGTGGTTAGAGGATTGAGCCGACATTGCAGAAAACCTGGATTGGAATACAGGCAGCTACCAATGCATAACTGGGTTCTTATGCATTGTGGAGTTGATGTTCTCAGGCAAAATTATTGTGCAAAAAAACCCTCCATCATATCAAAATTGTTGTTTCATTTTATATAGTTTATTTCAGCTCTTACACCTGTCAATCTGTGCAGGGCATTAAAGCTGTGCCCCTGCTATGACTAAAGAGGTCTAATTAAGTGACTTCAGAAGTAGTTCTGTGTCATTACTTTGTGGAGCCATTATATGACACAGGTGACATACTTCTAACCGTAGGGTTGTGAACGTAAATTTAATTCTTACAGCATGATGCCGAGAGAAAATATAATTGTGATTTATGTTTTTAATCAATCCACTTTGCATCACGGCCTTTTGTTGCATTGTGTATCGCTCTTACGACCTGTGCTGCTTCATCCAGGTGCACGGACAACAAGGGGGACAAGGCTCCACCCCGCCTGGCCTTCTCCACGTAGTTCCCCCTGGGCCCGGGTCTCTGGCGCATGGGCAGGGCGGGCTGGGACAGAGCCCCGGCTCGTCCGCCCCACAGTCGCTGTCTCCCTCTTCTCCGAGCGTGGGGCAGCTGGTGAACAGTGAGTCTTTCGCCCCACAGCCTCCCATGGCCACACACAAAGCGGCGGGGAAATTGGAGTCAGGAGGATTCAAAGTGGTGAGCGCTGGTCGCTCGCTCGCTGTTGCTATCCACAGCTAATGTGAGCCGACACCAGTACATGATTGATAGCATTCACTCATGTCGGATTTGGCCACCCTCTTTAAACATTTCAACAAAAAGCCTGGTCATGTTGCAAGAAGACTCACAACCTTTCGGGTTTATCTGCCTCCCGTGGTTTCAAAAATGGTTACATTCTGCATTAAAGTGTGTCATCAACAGGGCTTAATTTTTCACTGAGGTTGCTGGTAATAACATAATTAATTAATTGTTACACGTTTTCCTTATTTAACAGTTATGCCAATATGAAGTGATAATGATTCCATGTTGCAGGTAGGCTGGAGAAGGCACTATTATTATAGCCATAAAGTTTTTTTTAGTACAGTTCCTTAGCATAGGCCCACAGGTCCAAAATGCCCTGCTGCCGACAACAAATAGCACTATTGAAGGTATGGTTGATAAGAGTTAATACATTTATTGAAAAGTCAAGCAATGCATGGACAGAAGCAGAAAGAGAAGTGTTTAGATCTGTAGTATGGTCGATGAATGTATGGTGGTATACTGGATGTGGGGTGTCGAGTATGGATACATTGTTAGCCCTGGACAAACCCGGCTGCAATTAAGCCCTGGTGATCAATGTGATTGTGTGCCCATTCTCGCAGACCCACAGGGCCCATGCGGAGAGGTGGATGGTGTGAACCTGGAGGAGATGCGCGAGTTTGCCCGAGCATTCAAGATCCGTCGCCTCTCGCTGGGCCTGACGCAGACTCAGGTTGGACAGGCACTCAGTGCAGCCGAGGGCCCTGCCTACAGCCAGTCGGCAATATGCAGGTAAGCACGACCACACCTTTTTAAAATTGTAAATGGACGTGGAGACACTTGCGCCAATGTTGTCCAGCGTTTTAGCATCCCAGTTATAGTAAGATTTGATGACTGGCATCGTGGTGGCGTACGCCTGCGATCCAGTGCTTTGGAGACAAAGGTTGCTGGATCACGCAGAATCCTCAAACTTCAAAACACACTGAGCACAATTTGGCCAGATGATGGCGGTACAGAATATGGCTTCATGAAGCCAACCACACCTTAAATTATGAGTAGATATTCTCCTGATTCTCCAGTTTTCTACCACATGCAAAATCCTTATTTAAAATAAATCGATCAAAAAGCACAAGTTATAATACTCTTCAAAAATGGTTTTGAGACTCAGTGCGACTTTCCTGGATAAATACCGTTGTTAGTAGTTAATTATACATTAATTCCTCATTCTAAGACCTTCACTTTAAACGTCATGGAAATGATAAGTGATGAGTATTTATGTATTCGCCCAAATAGATCAAACATGTTTTTTTGCACATCAATACATATTACACTGATCACTATAATTCAAAGGCAAGCCTTTGGAAATATATAATTGCCACTAATTACTGCAAATATTCAAATGTCAGTATTCAAATGCAGTTTATTTTTTAATGCAAACCATACATTTACCCTCACCAAACACAAAGCAGCAGAAAATTTGTAAAGCAAACTGTTAAGGCAGTCGGCCACAAAGTGAGACTTTTTTCTCCAACTTCTGGCAGGAACGCCCTCCTCATGCGAGCCGACTTGTTCCTGCCGGCCTTCGGAGCAGCAAGAGCTGGAGACGCAATTAACGCGAACGCTAATAGCAGCAGCTCTCTCGACTCCCACGGGGCCTCAGGAAAACTGAACCCTGGGCTTTTATGTCCTGCCAGGTTCGAGAAGCTGGACATCACACCCAAGAGCGCGCAGAAGATCAAGCCTGTGTTGGAGCGCTGGATGGAGGAGGCTGAGGCCCGCAAGCAGGCCGGCCTGCAGAGCCTGAGCGACTTCGTGGGCGGCGAGCCCTCCAAGAAGCGCAAGCGCCGCACCTCTTTCACGCCGCAGGCGCTGGAGTTGCTCAATGCGCACTTCGAGCGAAACACACACCCCTCGGGCCAGGAGATGACGGCCATTGCCGAGAGGCTGTGCTATGACCGCGAGGTCGTGCGCGTCTGGTTCTGCAATAAGCGGCAAGCACTCAAAAACACCATCAAACGTCTCAAGCAGCACGACCCTGCCACGCCGCCACCGCCGCTGCCGCCACCGCCGCCGCCTGCGCTGCCAAAAACTCCGCAGTCACTGGTCGTGCCACAACTGGCAACCGGGCTGCCAAAGGTGGTGGTGACCGAAACGGGCCCTGGCACTTTTGAACACGCGGCGTTGTCGCAAGGCCTCACCAAAATCCCAGCAGAGGAAGAATCATCTCACGGCTTTGACTAGCTCGGTGTGGATTATGCGCAGGGAGACCAGGCCACCTGGATAACTGGAATGGACTCTTGTTTTTGAAGAATTAAAGATCACTTTTTAACCTGAAGATAAGAAAAAAATGTCTTGATTTACAGTGATTTCCACTATTGGGGAAAAATATTCCCAATGCTTGTGTTTTTGGTTGTTTAATTGTGATGGTAAGGTACACCTTCGTAGCGTTACATAGGTAACTGAACTTTGTTTGAGTCATACTATTATTGCACATTTCTGCACATTTTCAGAAGGTTAATGTTTTATTGCCAACCGTATGTCTTTCCGCTTAAAGTCTTCTACTTTAACTTTTGTGCAAATTATGAACAGCTTCTGTTTTTTTCTTGACATATATTGGAAGTATGACAAATTTATGGGAACAGTCTGGTTTGAGAGTATATGTATACACATGCACACAAAAATGCCATCACAAAGCTTTACCGACCATCAATGATATTGTCAACCTCTTGCTATTTTCTATGCAGAGCTTCAACTGCAGACAATTTTTTTATTTTATGGAAATGTTTGACTTTTGGTCTTTTATGCGTATTTAAATTTTTGTCCCAAAGAGTGGTTTCTTAAGGTCTGGCCTTTGCATTATTACAAGTGTGGTCAGATTTTAATCTGATGGGATGTGTATAAGTGACAATAACAAAAAAAATAGAGGGAAAACAAGTGAAAAAGGCTTTATATAAAGTATACCTGGTTGGATGTGTTAACACTTTGCATATATGTAAATGTGACTTGTAGTGAATATCTGCTGCGTGATGTTAAAGCTTTAATATGGAATTACTTTATTCTGATGACTCAGCCAAAGATACCTTAGCAAAACCAAATCCGTTCATACAAGGCACACTAATAGCAAAGTGGTGCTCCATAGACACACTTTACTCCAAAAAAATTATAATGAGAATGGACACATCTGCTTATGTGGTAGCTATTAGATGGATTTTTAAAGAGTGTTTGTTAAGCAGAAATAACCCAAAGTATGTCATAAATGCACTTCCTGGGCTGATTGGCCCAGAATGTTGCTAATAAGAGACCTACACAGCCTGCAGTGGGTGTCTCGTAGAAAGCAGACTAACTTGTGACTGACATTGAAAGCAGTTGAAGATCATGAGAAATACAATTTCCCAGCACATTCATTGTACGCTCTCAACCATCGAAACAAAGTAGATATTTAATCCATTTAAATAAATTTCCTAATACGTTTGCAGCATTGTCCCGGTTGTTGCATCGCTCACGGCTGTGGACAGGGACTGCCAAGTGTTCATTTTCTTGTAGGGATCATCTTAGTTCCGGAGACATCGAGTTACGCCACTGAGCAGTTCACTGCATGTCCCGCAGCATCACAGTGCCCCATCACACCATGCAGGCATTGCAGTTGAAGATAACTGCTGAGCTCCATCTACCTTTGTCACAGATGGGCGTGATCTTAGAAGAAACCATTCGGGCCTCTCACGTTTAATGCGTTGACCTCTTATCTCAGAATTGCCACCAGCAGTGGAGGCAGTCTGAATGCATTAATCAGAAACTGCCTTGCACAAGATGTAAAGCCAAAGGTAAAGGTTACGAAGTGTAAAAATCGTAAACACGCTTTATTTTAAACACAAATTGGTAAGCTTTAGGAAGGCAACATGGTCCACTCTTGGAAAGTCTGAGGTTCATTGGTTATTGCCAGTTTGTACCCTCATGCTGTGTTGCCATCCTTCAAAATGACAAAAAAGGTGACTGTCATGTCCACTTTACGTATAAAATGATCCCAAGATTTATGACTCTGCAAGGCCGCAGTTTGCTCCTGTGATTACTGTGTATACCTTTCCGAAAGAAACACTTTTATCCAAACTACATTCCACCTACAGTCAAAATATTCAACTAAATCCATATACCAAGCAGCAAGAGTAGGAAAAAATTGGTTCAGAGTATTTTGTTTATATTGAACCAATTAAATGTTTTTGAAACAGTATCTTTCATCATATGAGATAATACGATACTGCATAATTGTATTCGCCATATCAGCCTTGTAGTTGTCAGTAAAATTCAATTTAGATATGAATACAAATTAAAATACACACCAGTCCACATCCACCCGCCCACCACAATATTTGTGCACAGTCAATGGTAAGGGCATTAAATTAGCAACCTAGATTCTCAGGACTGCTTACATCATTATTTTTCCCACGATGTACAATGTTTGTATACAAGTACTATTAGGACATTTAGAAATTGAAACACTGAACAGCACGCAGTTATAATTTTTACCGGTGTTGTAAGGCTTTGATGCAGCATACATGAGCAAACGATGTGTTTTCTGATTAGCAACACAAAGACGCATATAAGGTGGCACATAGCGGTGGTACTTTTTAACAGCGAGGTCATCATGCATTTTTTCCTGGGCAAAATCCCCATACATCTCAGACAACTATTTAAATAAAAAAAATATCTTCATACCATTTGCAGCCACATTTGCTCCTGATAATAAAACAATTTTTCCCACCCACCAAAGAAATATGTCCCAGTCACGAGAGCTTCTCCCTCAATAGTTTGAACGTTGCTTGTGTGCCAATCACTCTGTATGGTTCTACATACACCATCATACCCATACCAAACTATACGAGCTTAGGTTAGCAGTGACAAAAATACAGGACTCGTGCATGGGACTACCACAGTGGATGTGTATATTATATATGCTAAAGCTTTAACCAAAAAGTATATTTCTGCTCTTATATATCCTGTAATGCCTTTGCAGCAATTCCTCCAGCTGGACCAAAGCACCTCCTTTCTATCAACCGTTTGATGTTATTTACATTCTATTTGTTTATTTATTTGTTTAAGTAAGTTTTTTTTCATATCATTTTAAATCCATTTTGAAGGATTGACGATTTATGGGTTAGACTTTAATGCCAAGGAAGGCAATCGCTCTAATTTACCTCAAACCCTGCATTCTGATTTGTAAAAATCCTCAATGCTCTACCAAATATTGGCATGTATTTTCACACCTGTAACTAGAACGAAACCCATAAACGAGAATACGAATAATAATGTCTTGCATTTTAGAGGGGAGTTACATCAATGGCTTGTAATTCAAGGAGCCAGCGCAGATCCTCAAGCATCTGATGTCTGAACATTGGTCAAAGTGCCAAGATAACAAAAAAAGTTAAGCAATATAGGGACGAAACAAATTCTATATTCAACACAGCCTCTACAAAATACTGTCAAAAAAATAATGAAAAGATTTCTTGAAAAAAATATGTAAACATTTTTTTTATGTCTTTTGTTCATGTTTTTTTTTTTAAATCCAGTTAATTATTTGTTATTCACCTTTCGGTATTTCTAAACGTCCGGGCAACAACAAAGCGTGCACAGCGCAAATCGAGGGAGGCCTGACGCGGGGCTGGAGGCACGGTCGTGTGGCCCGGCGGGCGCGCTCCTTGGGGTCGGCCGCGTGGCCGCTTCACGGCGACTTCACGACTCGTTTTGCGGGAGAACGTCGGGGACGTGTTTTGTACAAATCCAGCGGCGGAAGAACGCGGCGCTCGGGTGACACGTGCTGCACCACACCGTGCTCGGGTGACACGTGCTGTACCACACGGCGCTCGGGTGACACGTGCTGCACCTCACCGTGCTGTACCTCACCGTGCTCGAGTCGAGTGACACGTGCTGCACCACACGGCGCTCGAGTGGCACGTGCTGCACCTCACCGTGCTCGAGTCGAGTGACACGTGCTGCACCTCACCATGCTCGGGTGACACGTGCTGTACCTCACGGCGCTCGGGTGACACGTGCTGCACCACACCGTGCTCGAGTGACACGTGCTGTACCACACCGTGCTGCACCTCACGGCGCTCGAGTGACACGTGCTGCACCTCACCGTGCTCGAGTCGAGTGACACGTGCTGCACCTCACTGTGCTCGAGTCGAGTGACACGTGCTGCACCTCACGGCGCTCGGGTGACACGTGCTGCACCACGCCGTGCTCGAGTGACACGTGCTGCACCTCACGGTGCTCGGGTGACACGTGCTGCACCTCACCGTGCTCGAGTCGAGTGACACGTGCTGCACCTCACGGTGCTCGGGTGACACGTGCTGCACCTCACCGTGCTCGAGTCGAGTGACACGTGCTGCACCTCACGGTGCTCGGGTGACACGTGCTGTACCACACCGTGCTCGAGTCGAGTGACACGTGCTGCACCTCACGGTGCTCGGGTGACACGTGCTGCGCTTCACGCGGGAGGCTTATGGGACAAAGAGCGAAGAACGGGACGCTCGCGTGTGCTCGGCCACTTGGAGTGTGACGTTGACGCCAGGAGTGTACTCACGGTACATTCGCTTGCCGGGTTTGATGAATAGAAACCAAAGCTGATCCTAGACTAGGCCTTTTTATTTGCCGTGTTTAAAAATGTAACGTGCTATATGATCTGTAGATCTTTTTTTCCCAATGTCACGGAAACCTTTGTATAATAAATAGAAGTAGAATATGTGTATGCGAGTAACTCATTTGCTGGATCGGGGGAAAGCTGCAGCCCTGCGATTTGTTTTTGCTCACGCCACTGCAGGAAGAAGGGCCCCTTCCCGAAGGCATTTTGGTCTCTTATTCCATGCCGGTGAGACATCTTCTAAGCGATGGGAGTAACCACACTTTACCCCTACGACACGCGACCTGCTAAGTGACGAACTTACCCCTCGGTAACAATAACTTATTCCAGGCTCATGAGCTGTGAACATAAATCGAAAAGTGTAACCACAGCAACTCTCAATCCAACTCAATTGAGTCAAAGGCAGGAGGCAGGTCAGAGCGCCAACACTTTATTAAGTGTCAGTGTGCACATGCAACACAGGCTACACTCTGGCTGCCGACTGTTACTTTCTGCTTTCACTGTTACCATGGAACCAATATGCATAATGTGTCGTGGCATTAAGTAACAGGTGAGAAGTGCAATGCGAGTTCTGTTAGGTGGTCAATATTAACTTGGCTCTTAACGTGTGCTTGAATTACTCTCGAAAATGCTCCCAATGCAATCCAGCACTGCACAATTACACGTCGCGTTCTCAATTTCTTCACACAACTAGTAAGTCGATTGGCACGTTAAAAACTGCAATGCGTTGCAAAAATATACTATTTTTAGTATCTTTTAAACTTATACATGCCATGAGAATGTAAAATAACATGGTTTCAAACTTAATCATGTTCACGGACATTTAAAGAGGAATATGACCAAACGCAATGAATTCCTCAACTTGACAATTATTCAAGCCTTGCTAGTAGTTAATACAGCACCATATAAGAAATACTTGTGGAAGGAAAAAAACTTTTTGGTAAATTTTTGCACAATGGAAATACCCATCGTAAAACCCATTCTACAGAGCCCAGATTATAAATATTGGATACATTTTGAAGAATAAACATTGCAAAAAGGGAGTGGGAAATTATGTTTTAAAAAAATCAATGCACACATTTAATATACACGATACAAGACCCACAGAGAAGTGCACACATTCAGTATGACAAGGAGACTGTATGCCGGACAGGTATTAATACAACACTAAAGGGTCGTTATTGGTGAAATACTTTTGGAAATATTTGCAAACAAATCTCAGAGTTAAAAATACAGTTAAATCCGACGGCTACAACGGTAAATAAAATGCAGTATAACTGGTAAAAGCAAGTGGACTGATATAAAATAAAAAAACATTTTTAAACCGATTTCAAACCAGCTCAACAGCATAAAAAACGCTACGTTATTTTAGCACTTTTTTTGCCAATATAAATATTGCTTGAATTTTTTTCATTGTGATTTTGAATCTATTAATTCAGGGTGATTTTTTTGAAAAGTCATTTACAATGATTTATCTTTCTTAGGATGTCAAATTTAAAAAAATGCGTAAAAAAAGCATAACTATTTACATCTTTGTTCTTTTGTGAGTTTTACACGAAAGATTCAAACTTAAAAACACTCATCATTTCATAGGGTGCATAGAAACAAATGCTTGGGTTACATTAAATCCAATTTTGAGTGGTATGAAGGCATACATTTACTGTAAAAAAATATGATCTTAAGAGGATGCCTCGGTTTGTTGTGCTCTTCAGCATCTTATAAAAAAAATGTTAAGCACTCTGAAAGTTTCTAAAACGGTCGGATATTTTGTTACTTAGCTATTTTTAATTGTATCTGCTCGTAGTTTATCATAAACAAATTTTGAACACATTTTCATGAGACGTGAATTCACAGACAATGAGAAAGACAATTTGTCATGTAGAAGGCATGACCAAGGCTGATCCATTATAAATTACAGTGTAATGATACCGAGGGCCAACGGACCAGAGGTCAGCAGTAATGGCAGTGGCACCTGGAGCAGAGTCATGGGTAAGTAAGCATCTCACTCTACCCTTCACGCCACCTCTCATCATCCTCAAAATGGCAATATTCACCTCGTTTCCCATATTAGGCATCATATATCCCCTTCGGCAACTGGCTGGGGATCCACATGGTCTCCAATGCATCATGGCCCAAGAGGGGCCACACAAGCCAAATAACCCACCTTGCAGTCCACACTGCGAGATATATCAAAATCAAACAGCAGACACAGATGACAGTGAGCGATCGTTTCATTAAATGTGCAATGGGTACTTAACTTTTTCAAACAACATATCTCGTACCGTCAGTGACAGATATATAGTTGTACGCACGTATATTTGAAATAACAAATGTACGCATACACAAACACATACAATAGTTGTTCTGCCACATGGGCTCGTGTGCGAGTGAGGCAAGGAAGAGGAGGAGGCTTTGATGGAGAATAGGAAGATGAATAGGAGTATGGGTTTGATGAAGAGGAGGATGGTGATGTGTGAAGAGTTGGAGTAAGAGGTGGCAAGAAGTGAGAGAAGAGGAGGGATAGTTGCAGGAGGAGAAGTGGTTGGATGAAGAGGATGAGGAGGACGGAGAGGACGGAGAGTTTGATGGGGTTTGATAAAGAGGAGGAAGAGTTTGATGAAGAGGATGAGCAGGAGGGGAGGGAGGGCATGATGGCGAGGAGGATGAGCGCTCAGCGCCGGCGGACGTGCTCGTGAGCGACGCTGTTCTCCATGCAGAGCACGGCGAAGCTGGAGGCACAGCCATGTGGCTGCTGCTGCAGCAGGCGGTGCGAGGAGAGCGGCGAGGCCTGGCCCGTGACGGCCGTCTCGCCCACGCGCCACATCTCGCAGTACTGCGTGACTAGGCGGCGCCCTCGCTCATCCGAGCCGTGCCACACCAACTTCTGGGGCCTGAAATCAATATCAATTATTGCCGTCGATGTTATTCACAATTTGTAAACGTTTACGGGTTGGACTCCATCATTATCATCATCAGCCTGGGTCAAACCAGTGCTGAATTCATGTCTCCCCAAGCCACTGCCATCTCTAATGATTCTGCGATGTAGTAATCCACCTAACATCTGCACAGCAGATAATTGCATCGGTCCATCTGAATATTGTACTTATCGTAAACTAATTTGTAATATTTTTTTATTGTATTTATGTGTAGGATCTCTCTCTTTGTCATTCTACTCATTATTGAGTATCTATGATGATATAACTGTGATATTTTTCACCAATCTATTTGCACAATACAAAAAAAGTTCATTATATTGTTTTTAGAAAACAAGATATTTATTCGTATATTTCTTCGTGCAGTAATTGGTTGTTGTGTATGTAGCTCAGTTTAACATGTAGGCTTTCGCGACCAATATTATTATAACCCAAAAACCTTTATTATGAATGTATGTAGCTCATTGGGCTTTTGCTTCACATGTTAACCCGTTTTTAAAGCTGTTTGATACATAATGACATGTAAAGCGCTTTTAAAATATAAAATAATGATAATGATCACAAAGATAAAGAATGTACGTAACCATGCAAACTATTGCGCGTTAATATTCAGGCACATGCATTTTTTTTTAACTCCACTATAACAGCACTATGCAAGGAGGTGTAATTGTTACCAGGCCTGGTCCGTCAGGATGTTGCGGCCGTCGAAGGAATAGATGGCAGCATTGGAGTTCATTTGTCCACCGGACCCTGAGAAAATCTCCTCCCAATTCCTGAAGAGCACCTCTCCCTGAAAGGTAAAGAAACCAACATATAAACACACGCGCACAGTACTACACTGCAAAGCGGCAATCCATTATGCAAGTGCCAACGATTTACGGGATAAAGCGTCGAGCCGTTCGCTTTCTAAGGTGGCGCTCGCGGTGCTGTCGTTGAGAAAGATTGATCGTCTCAGCATCTCCGCACAGGCTCTAAATGCGCGTGGCACAGAGGATTTCACCGATGAGCCAGCGGTCTCTCATCGGCGCCAGGCTGATTATGCGAGTTCACGTGACATACGGAGCATGTTCCAGCTCTTTGCAGAACGTCACACAGGAGAGTGAACGGTTAAAGCTTGGGTTACTGCAGCACTCCCATCATTACCTTGGCTGCTCTTACTTCTCGTAACAAAGGCTGACTTGTGGACTTCTCACAATGGAATGAAATCGTGTAGAATATTGCTTTTTGCAATGAACAGAGATGGAATGCTCGTACCAATCCCATCTACCTAAGCAACATTTGTTTAACAAGCCCAACTCTACTGATGAGACCTAGAAGGTCAAAACGAGTCCAAAGTTTGCCTGCTTAAACAAATTTTGCTCTATATTGGTGTGGAATGCCAATAGGCTGATGAACTAAACATCTGTTTATTTATATGTAGCGACACAGAACGAAGTTCTGCGTATATACAATGGAAGCAGCACATTTGCACCCTGGATATAAACATCAATAGAGTGAGGAAACTGCTCAAAATCCCACACCCTGTCACGGGCTTTGATGAGATTAGGTGCACAGCTGTAAAAAAAGCTTCTTCCTCCTGGGGGATCTCACCTGTTTCAATCAAAGGCAGTGACTATAGATGAAAAAAAAAATGTTTCATAAACAAACACGAACGCAGCCACATCTCAAGACCATGTACACAAAAGGATGTACACCACGAGATGATGCAGATGAGCAGGAAAGAAACGAGGGCCTTATATTTTAGTAAAAAAATTTGAAGGCCAAGATTAGAGATTGTCGGGTGTGACGGAGAGAAGAGTAAAAGGGTTAAAAACGAATGCATGGCTGGTTGTAGGCAAAGGAGAAGCCAGTAGTAAAGATGATCAGGTGGGAGTTTCAAACAACAAAGGGCCACAGCACAGCCGTGAGTTTCCACTGAGCAGGGGTTTTGAAGAAAGGCCTTTGTTACTGGAGCGGAGGGAGTACACAAAACACAGTGAGGCTACAGTGTTGCAACTTAACATTTTGTTTCTAGATCGATTTGACTTTTTGGCTTTCCCTTGCAAACAAAATTTTGTAAAAGTGGCACGTTATACTTGCCAAGATGTGCTGTGACATGATTCCTGGCAGATATTAAGAATACTGTATCAGTTTACTACATTTAATACTTGCTCAATTGTCGTGACATTTTTTACGAATTTAGAACGTTCTATCGAGCGACATCTCCTGAATTTCCGTGCTTCATTTGGCGGCTTTCCGCTTCAAAGAGTTGGCAACACTGAAGCCGCCTCTAATCATGGACAACCCAGAGCCGCGTGACAACACGCTCTTCCCGGGGCTTACCTTGAGGTTTATTATGGGCATGGAGGCACGGTCAGCCCGGCGCACGATGGACGCCAGGTCCTGCACCTTGGAGGAGAGGAAGGCGCGGTATGTGCCGTGCAGGCCGATGGCACGCGCCTGCTGGAAGCACTGGAAGTCTGCACCACGGATGCCACGCATGTCCCCCATCTGCGGGGCGTTCAGCGCTATCAGGTGCAGCTGCGGGACAAGGGACGGCCAGGGAATGGTGGACTTTAGCAGGTGTGACACGCAATAGCAGAGGGTGCTATAAGAAGACTGTCATTGTCATCATCATCATCACCATCAGCCATGGTAAAACCACTCCCCAAGTCGCCACCACCTGTCACGATCCTGTGATGCAATATTCCATCCAGCGCCTGAGCTAGAACTGATCTCACCATTCCATCTCCGCAGCGGACGCACTCTTGGATGCTTTGCTTTACTAAGACTCATAACTAGGATGGTTGAGGCTCGGAGAGGCCTTCATCCAGTCGCAGATTGATCTTGTCAAAATATAAAGCTATAAATCGGAACACCGAAGGTCATTTTAGAAAAAGCTAAAGAATTTACCATTCATAATTCTCATCCAATATTTTGTTTTATTTTGTGGCATATCTGTCAGTATAGGTGATCATAAGCACTTGTGAAAAATATTTTGGGAATTATTTTATCAACAAATACCAAAAGTGAAAATGGCAATATTTTATCATTACATGTAAATATTGTATATTGGTGTCTTGAAAAACTAGTTCTGCTCGGTACTTGGATGATAGTTTTTTTTTTATTAGTGACGCACTCTATATAAAAATAAAACCTCTGACCTCTTGGCAGAAAAATAAATTCCTTCTATGCAGGGGGCTGGAAAGAGGCAAATTTACGGTTCTCTAAACGTGATTTTGAGCACGAACATTTCCTTTCTCTGCGGGAATCTCCGTCCAAACACGGGACCAACAAGCAGTGTAAATATTATCTCCATTTATCACAAAATAAATAAACTGGTAAATAAATAATAAAACAAATTCATTTCCCCCCTGGAGACGTAACAATATATTCTAAAAAATTAAGCTCTTCATTGTCCTGGGGCCCCCCTGCGATGCCCCTAGCATACGTGCAGAGAGGGGCAGCACTGCTGCTGAAAGCATGAAGGTGACAAGGATGGCAGCATCGAGACGGAGATGATGAATGGGGGCAGGCAGGGCAGCTGCTCCATATAAGAGTATTGGCCGCCTGACTCTTACACCTCTCCTTTGCAGAGTTCATATACATGGGCAAGTATTCTAGAGAGACTGTACCTCCCTCATGTGACGATAGAAAACATTCAATCTATATACACTTCCATGGTGTAACAGTTAGCACACTGGATTTGCAATGCAGAGGAGACCGGTTAGATTATATCTCCTGGCGCGGTAAGGTGAAACAATGGAGCAAGTTCCTTTAAAATTCCACTGCTGCCACCATCCAGCCAGATGTAAATATTGGTGCACCACATTTAGTCAATCGACAGGTCACATGTGGAGGGATAAAGTGTGGGTACTCCCACCTTTTCCAAGATGTCTGCTCAGCATGGAAGAGTAGATCAGATCTAGATCTGAAGTTTTCGTGACTGCAGGGATCCGTACTCTTTGGTTATTTCGGTAAAGGCACGTGGGTAGAAAATAAAATGAATTAAATTTATTTAGTAGATAATATAATAATCTAGCAGGCCTCTCTAGAGCTCTCTCGAGTTGAGGCCCTTCCACCAGCAGTGGCACGAGAATTACGTTACAAGTGCTGCACCTTTACCTTCTATTAATTAATTTTATTTTATACTCTACGTGACTTTACCAAAATAACCAAAGAGTATGGATTCCTGCAGTCACGAAAACTCCAAATCTAGATCAAATCTAGATTATATGTATTTAGCAATAATCTGACGTGAGAGTTATGCATTGAGATGGTTTAATATTTGATTTATTTATAGCCAGGTGAAAGAGTATTCAGGAGGAAAATAATGAATACAAAGGGGATGACACTCAAGGTCCACACAAATCGGTTCATCAACTATTTGCTGTACTGTCATCTCGTGACCACCGTGAGTTTGCGATTTTAAAAAATTTGAGGCATCCAAGAAACGCTGCCTCCAAAGCACTGGATTACAGGGGTGTGCTACCACAGTACAGTCACTCCACCACAAAACCACTCCACCACACCAGCATGCTACCACTCCACCACTCCACCATGCTACCACTCCAGCACTCCATCACATCAGCACGCCACCACTCCACCACGCCACCATGTTACCACTCCACCACTGCACCACACTACCACTCATCCACACTATCACTCCACTTCTCCACCATGCCACCACCAAGCTCAGCTCATCTCACAGTGACAGATGCTGCCACGCGGGCTTCTTCTGCACGCAAGTCACTGTCTGGGCTCACTGCGGCTGATGCTCACCCCGTGGTGGCTGGTGCCAGCAGACGAGTGACCAGCGTTGATCTCATGGTAGGCGATCCCGGCCGATGTCAGGCCGACGTTGCCCGCCTGCGGGTACCCGACGGCGGGCGACGGTGGGCCCAGGTCCCCACTGGGGTACGCGATCCCTCCCGTATTATGCCCCACGTGAGATGGCGACAGATGGTTGCTGCCCAGGTTATTGTTGCCGTTGTTGTGGTGGTGGTGGTAGCTGGCGTGCCCACTTGTTGGGATGCGGTCCACCACAGGGAAGCTGGGCAGCGGGTTTATAATGTTGAGCACATGGGACGAGGCCTGTGAAGTGATAGCAGTGACAGCAGCAGCAGCAGCAGTTGTAGCAAAAGACTATGAAATGTTATGACCATGTTTTTAACTGTGGTGAACATCTTTCGCACTGTGCTTCAGAGAGTGATTGTGTTTTGTATTCGATGGAAACAATACAGTAGCAACGCGTTCAAATAAATCGACTGTAACTTACAGCAACTTCGTCTTCTCTGGGAATGGGCAGCACTTCTCCAAGCTGTAACAAATACAGGAACATTCATTAACAAAATAACATATTGAGCCACAGGCATTATATGACAATACAGAAAGGAGTGCTTGTTGCGTGCTATGTATGTTGAATTTTTTTTATGTTGAACTTCTTTCACACCATACGTAGTCAATCCTGCTAATCGGAGGTGTGGTGGAAGGTCAACTACTACAGCAATGAAGACGACGAGATGGATCTCAGGGATCATGAGGCTGCACCAGGTCAGAAATTGCGAGATGAGGGAGAAGGCAAGGGTGGTAACTCATCTCGGACAACCTGAACATTTTTCAACTAAGATTGCTAGGACAATAATGTAAGATAAAAGGAAAACCAAATTGGAATAGTCGTGATGAACTTTGAAGCATCAAGGCTGAGACCGAGAGGCAGGCCTAGCGAGAGGTGGATCCGAGTGATGAGCTAGGATATTGACGACTGTGGAGTGGACGTGGAGATGAGCCAGGGACAGAAATGAGTGAAGAGGATCTCAAGAAGTAGATGCATCAGATCACAAAAGTACATACCTCCCCAAAGAGCATTGCTTATTTGTTGTGAAACCAATTTTGTTGTTTTGTTCCAAAGTAACAAGACGAAAAAAAAAACAACGTAAGATAGAAAGGAAAGTTGGGAGTGAGCTTGGCGGTGCATTTTTGCTGCATGACGGGCCGGGCGTCTGCTGCACTCACGTAGAGCTGCCTGCATCCGTCGCGCACACGCACGTACGCCTCGCCACGCTCCACGATGTACACAAACGAGCCCTCGGGGGCGGCCCGTGACCATCGCACCATCGCCTCAAAGTTTTGCACAACGGTTGCCTTCAGAAGGAACAGGGGTGAGAGAAAACACACAGAGCATCACAAGCCGTTCGAGCGCGCATTAACACGGACTGGACCACCCAACGTTTACGCACTGTGGAGCAGTGAGGCAAGTTCAGTCGACAGAACTTTGCGAGCTGCCCACTTCTAGGCTGGTGCTGTTGTTCTCAATCTTGTGTCGCGCAACTGCAGCCTGCGGCGCTCCCCTTCGCTAGACTACAGCAGGCCATCAGAATGGGTTGAGATGAGACGTGGTGTAAGGTGCTTTGAGAGTTTCTGCAATATTTATGCGCGCCTATAAAAGCAAATCTTTATCCTAAAACGAATGTGTTTTTTTGTGACACCAGTCAAGAACAAAAGAAGACGAATGTAAGCAGTTACTGTATGTTTGTGCACGTACCCCTTTCGCAGAGCTGGCTAGGCCTGGGGGACCGGGAGGTCCAGGAGGCCCTGCAACAACTGATCTGTGATGTTCTGGAATGACGACAAGTTAACAACAAATCATTGCAATGATTGAAAATGACAAGTTGATGCTGTAAACTGGTTTAAAATGTATTCAGAATGAATGTCAACTGCAAAAATAATAGATACAATACAAAAATATACATTTTACACAATAAGATAACCTTATGCCTCTTGTGGACATTACATTTTTATAGAAATATAGAAAAATAAATCCTCTTTGCCACAATTCACGCGAGATTTTAACAGCTCCTTTTGTGCATGTACAGCCTTTGTGCATTTCAAATGTTTACTTTATCGGTTATTGACTGGCAATTCACAAAGTAGTTTGGTCTCGTGTTTTAGAATCCCAATACAGCCTCTTCCAGGTCTCGCCGCGAGCAAGGACACTGACCAACAAAAGTTGTTCCAGGAGGCCCCGGCGGTCCTTTCTGCCCAGGGGGCCCAGCCGGGCCCGGTCGGCCCTCAAAGCCAAACCCAGGGGGCCCGGGGGGGCCCGGGGGTCCAGGGTGCCCCCTTGGGCCAGAAATGGCATCTCCTTTGGGTCCCTAAAAAGAGAAAAAGAGTGGTAATCACCCAGCGTTGGGGAACTGACGTAGCGTTATACAACGTCATGATGAGCAGCTGGAAGTTTCCCAGAAGTGGAGAGCGATGTTGAACACACGGCACAACCCAACAACAAAACACACGCTGCAGAGATATACAGCGCAAACGCGACTAACACACCATGGCAATGATGGATATTTATTACCTTAATGTGAAGTAAAATAATACTTTCATTGCAACAAATTATTTTCGTTCACCTATTGTTGACTGTTTAGTGTAATTATACATTCACACGAACAGTATATGAACTCAACAAGAGTTTGAACAAAATAAAAACAACGAAAATCCAGCATTGACCTCATTTTCAGTTCTAAGCGAAGAATAAAACAAGGTTGCTTTTATATTCTTAGTTTTTTCGGTAAAGTCACGTTGAAGAGAAACAACAAAATAACAAAATATATATAAAACAATAAAAAATTCTCACGACGTTTCGACCATAACTCAAACGGTCATCATCAGGTGTGTCGGTTTGCATAAATTTATTTTGAAAACGGCATATTTATTTATTTATATATATAAATAACGTTTGCGTCACGCGCAACGATTGGCTGTTTGCCAGGACTAGTCCATCTATTTTTTGAAAAGAGGAGGGGGGAGACGAAATTTGTTTTTATGTATGCTGTCTGAAAGGCACTGTAAGCGTGAACAATCAATCAAGAACTGAAATGATTTATCAAATCTTTCCAATGATTGCTAAGATAGAATCCATCTTCTCGGTTGAAATTGTCTCTGTGCTTGTATATGTGGATAGCCTCATGAACGAATCTCTCATGGAAGCCAGATGGCTTACAAAGAACCTCCGTCTTGGAAAAGTCAATGGCATGTGAGCCTACTGGCTTCCATGAGAGATTCGTTCATGAGGCTATCCACATATACAAACACAGAGACAATTTCAACCGAGAAGATGGATTCTATCTTAGCAATCATTGGAAAGATTTGATAAATCATTTCAGTTCTTGATTGATTGTTCACGCTTACAGTGCCTTTCAGACAGCATACATAAAAACAAATTTCGTCTCCCCCCTCCTCTTTTCAAAAATAGATGGACTAGTCCTGGCAAACAGCCAATCGTTGCGCGTGACGCAAACGTTATTTTTATATATATAAATAAATATGCCGTTTTCAAAATAAATTTATGCAAACCGACACACCTGATGATGACCGTTTGAGTTATGGTCGAAACGTCGTGAGAATTTTTTATTGTTTTATATATATTTTGTTATTTTGTTGTTTCTCTTCAACGTGACTTTACCGAAAAAACTAAGAATATGAATTACTGCAGTCACGAAAGCTTTAAATCAAAATTTAAGGTTGCTTTTAGTTTCCCAAAGAATTGTCATCACTCGTTGTATCCGCAATGGCAGGATATATAGTTTTATATTTCTTTCCAATGGCCCCCGATCAAAATTGTATTAGAGTTTGTGGTTTGGCTCCCCCTGCTGCGTTGTATAGTTAGGTCGAGCCGCAAGACCCAGAAACGTGGCCACTCTTGAGAACACTTGACCATACAAGGTGAAGAAGGGGGGTGACAAAGGGCGTCCGGGTGTTGAAGTCAGGGATATTGCGAGGTGGTGGAATTACGACTCGCGTACATGCATGGCTCTATTGACAATCCAATGGTGAACGGGGGGAGCCTTCCCAACACCTGAGGAGCCAAGTAGCATCTGAAAAATTAGCTCCGTGGGCTTTACCTGGCAAAATTAAAAATAGTTTCGAGTTCATGATGCACCTGATCGCATCATAACTTGAAGCTAAGCAGGTGTGATCCTGGATAGTGCTTGGATAGGTGAGCACTCTGCACAAACAAGGGGTCATAAGGCTTGCGGGCCTACACGGGGGCAATTGAGGGCAGTGCAGGAATGTCCATTTTTCGTACTGTCCTTCAATGTTTTCCAGGTATTAAGCTCCCTGTCTTCATCAATCCGCATTGACCAACGTGAAGTACCGTAGTCAAATAACCCTCACGATCCACTCAAATGATAGCTCAACGAAGTGGCTCATCATGTGGAAATGTACAGCAGCCAAAGACTCTAAACGCACGTTGATTTTTAATGTGGAGCAAAAAACCGGAGGACCCGGAGAAAAATCCACCCGACCACGGGGAGAACATGCAAACTCCAAATATATAGGCATCAGGGTCAGGATTGAACCCACGACGTCGTGCATACCAGGTGAGGGAGTTAATATCTCGCCACCGTGGCAGGTGATGAAAACAATTAAATATTAAATAAACAATTTGCATTATGCCCATATGACCGCTATACCTGCATTGCCTCGAGACATTGCCTCACTTGTGATTATGCTGATACTGACCCAGAAGCCACTGGCTGATTTACCAACTTTAACAAACTGTTAACAGTTTAATTCTTTATTAACACAAAAACACCGCACGTCATTTTTTTTGCCCTCAAGGCTGCATTTACAGAATAGGTGTTTTACGAACCAATGAGGAAAAGTGGGCATCTGTCCACTAACTTACTGCACAACATCGCAGCTTTATGACTGCACGTTGTCTTTACAGCCACGCAAACCTGACTTTACAACTGCACGAGTTGTTCACAAGCACATGTAATAAAATGCCCTGCGCTGCAAGCACAGAGTCAAAAAACTATTTCCACCGGGCTCTTTCACAATGCAGACCCGGATGATATTGATGTATTTGGCCACGGTTGCTGACTTTAGTTTCTGCTACTAAGGTGAATGTTAATTGGAAGTACTTCTTGTTCACAGCGGAGTTGGTTTGAATTGTAAAAGTGTGCTAAATGTGTAACACAGGAGACCCTTGAATATCGCAGGGGTTACGCGCTTGGAGAGTCCCGCGAAAGCCATAACCGCGATGTTCAATACTTCAGCCATACCTAAATAATGGGGTTAGGTGCATGGCACCCTAAAATAGACACATCACAAGTTAAATAAGTACTGCACTGTATGCCAAATAAACTAAAAACATAATATTCGACGTAAACATGTAAAAACCCTATACAAAAAATATTCCTTGACAATAATAGCATAAATACTTAATAAATACTGTAGTTACCGATAATGAACGCACTTGCTCCAGCATAAACAGCTACGAGTGGTGGTAGTGTATTCTGCATTGCATAGAGAACCGTCTCGTGAAAGGTTTAGGTTTTTTGATGGTAGATGACTGAGTGAGACTTGCGAGTTGCCAGGCCACATCCGTACCGGAGGGCCGGATCTCCCAGGCAGGCCAGGCGGTCCCACGGGTCCTGGTGGTGACAATCCGAAGCCACCTCCACCAGGCTCTCCTTTCTCTCCCTTGGGCCCAATGTCACCCTTGGTGCCCTGATGGGATATACGTATTTTTGTGAAATTCATGACCACATTGCAGGATTTATCAGACCAACGGGTACATCAATATCATTTCTTGAGAAAATACAAAAACCATTTCTATTAATAAGTGGTTGTATGCTTCTAAATGCATTTGATATTTACTAGTATGATTTAAAATTCAAAAGGATCCATTTGTAATGCTCTCTCTTCAATTCATCACATTCAAATGAGTTGTACAATATTGATTAGCTGTATTTTCAATCTTTTATTTTTTTAACTCCACTTCACAATGGTTTGATCAGGAAGGACACAAATATACACAGCCTTACCCTTGAAGCATAATTCCCAAATACATCTACGAAGTTGGAATTCGATGGTGGGCCTGTGAAGAAAAGATTGAGAGGTACGTCTATTATTATTATTTTTTCAAATAAATCATTAACACCATATGAAGAGTAAGTCAATAATGAGCACAATGGCTCGATCGAGATAAAATCAACAAGAAGAATATAGCATTTGTATCTGCATGTGAGGGGGGCAATAATCTGGGGACATCGAGACCATGTCTGATGCATATGCTAAATGGGAATTAGAACATTAACTTTTTTAACAAATGGAATTTATTTTGCAAACCTGTCAGTTTATTTCACACTTGCTTGTGGAGCAATTAAATATATGAAATTTGTTTGTGTTATTATATGCTGGTCATTTTACATATTTCTTGCATGTAATGAATGAACAGGGCACCATTTGCAAAAGGAAGATGCAAAACAAAAAAATAGGTCTTATGTATCTATGTTGAACTTCTTTTGCACTGTACGTAGCCAACCATGCTAAGACGACAATTATGTTGTGGATACACACACAAACTATGTGTGTGTCCAAGACGAGTTTGAGTTCCATCTTCCTTGAACTGAAATAAATTCCACGTGGCACAAAACTGAGATAGGCTACCGCATAGGTTTCCATGGCTGCAATGTTAAGCACTTAAATTAGTTTTCAAGCTGTACCGCGTGTTGTTCAGCACAATGCAGGTGACTTCTTCAGGAATTTTCAGTTCCTGAAGAAGCTCCCAGCAAGAAGAGGAAGAGGAGGAGTAAGAGGATGTGGATGAGGAATCAGAAGAAACATAAGAAAAATAAAAGATCAAAAAGAAAATAAGACTATTTATTTATTTTACCAGTTAAGGTCTACTGAGCTATTTAGCTCTTTTTTTCAGAAGTGACCTGGCCACAAATGGTAACTCAACAAAGTGGCGTTTCATGTGGAAATTTATAGCAGCCAAATACTCTACGCACATTGATTATAAATGTGGAGGGATAAAAACTGGAGGACCAGGAGAAAAATCCACACGACCGCGGGACAAACTACATGCATCAGTCGAGATCGAGATGAACCCACAACCGACCTCCTGTATACCAGGCGAGTAGTTAACATCTCGCCACCATAGCACCCTTATTTAGTCAGACAATTGGATATATTGCAGAGCATGACTGATATGCAGAATTACACAAATCAGAGTACTGTAGGTATAGTTAAAAACAACAACAACACTTGATTACCACAATCTCAAACACAGCCAGGCAGAAGGAACATTGAGTATCATAGCTTTTTGGAGGACTCACCTGGTGGACCAGGTAAACCAGCTGTTCCCTTCTCTCCCTTGGTCCCTGGGGTTCCTGGCAAACCTGGAAAGCCTCTATCCCCCCTGGGACCTATCACACATATATCATATATAAACAAAGACAAATAACCCTCATGTAGCCTTGACAGACTGTTTGAGCAAGTGCTTTTAGCAAGCAGCACCTATGAAGACCGGCAGGGCACACGAGGGGGTGAGTAGCCACCACCACGCCCGACCTCCATTGTCTACTCATTGACGATGTTTACACATCGCACTCGGTACTAATTTTAGGCTGAGTCGACCTAAGGGAGGCCCAGAAACGATTCAGATAATCGTCACTGGTGGTGGACGTGAGCAGGATTAAAACTCGGGTCGCCGGGTTCATAGTGGTACATGCATATGAGAGGTGATCGACATCTTTTTGGATGTTAAAACATTTCACTATGTTGGAACTATTTTGAAGTCATCATCTGTATGCAGTGATATATAAAATAGTTTAGTATCTCAGTCTCAATGGTTGCGAAATTACTATGTGTTGTCCTATTGTCTTGTTGTGTCGCTATAAACAAACACATATAAATACTTCTCAAAAATTTTGGCTACCATGTGTGTTTGTGTATAAATGTTTATTAAATACACAGTGTTGCACAACTTATATACAACGGTTTAGTCAGTCTGATTTCAAGAAACATAAAATAAAAACATGTTTATTTTACACAGCTTCATAACAACAAGAAAAAAACATGTTACCGTGCTGTGGTGGTGATGCAGACAGCCCACGTTCTACCTGTAATGAGAGTCAGCGGAAAGAAATCAACACCGAGACACTGAGCCACATTTCCCAAATCCACGCTCATCGGCCATCTAATTTTGCTACTTTGATGCCTGTTTTATGGTATCACAATGACATCTTAGTGTGCGATTACTTTTCCTTAAAACAGACTTTTCATTAATACCGCTCACTAAAGACGAATGATCTTGTCTCTTGGACGTGACAGCACTTACACAGTGTTTCCTTTCGAAAACGGAAAAGCTTGAGGTTTGTAACTCTAGGGTCTTGGCGGGTTGGGGACAGAATCGCATTCAACATCTGTTTCAGACTCACCACAGTGATGCCAGGGGAGCCAGGAGGGCCGGGAGGACCCGGGGGGCCGGCGGGGCCTGGGCCAGACTGAAACATTTGAAAGTTAACAATCGCACGTCACATTTCATTGGCAATCATGGGGAATAAAGACACACGCTTGTGGTGGGCGCATAAGGTCAATAAAATCATAATACAAAAGCGAGCGTGCAGATTAATGCTATAATGCAATGGTATACATATGTGATTGATATTTAATTATATAAAGCAATTCATCTACTATAATTCCTATTGAAACAGTTTGTTGTCAATGTATTCTTACAGTAAAAACTATTTAAATGTTGCCATGTCAGCGATCCAATACAAATAATTCAGATATTTTTATCATTGGTGTTATTTCTTCTGCTCTGAAGAGGACGAGGATCTTAACTCATTGACCAATTGCCCTCCTTCGGTTTCAACCAAATTACCTCTTCTTTTCAGATGAAGAAAACCGTGTTTTTATTTTTACTTAACATGTATTTTTTTCTCCCAAAAACATAATTGACATGTTTTAAAACCCTACTGCACTGCAGAGAATGAATCTCTTGCAGCTGACCCATTAGACTGAGGTCACGGCCAACCTGGGCTAATTCAATTGAGGTCAGAGTGTATTTTTTGAAGAATAAATAAATATTGTTTCGACACAAGACGATGAAACTCACCCCAAACCCAAAGTCTGCTGGTTCACCCTTTTCACCCTTGTAGCCATTCATCCCGGGCCGGCCCTGACATAATCAGACAGTTTTTTGTTAAACATGCACTCCTGTGAATACCAATCTACGTGCAATGAAACCTTTCCTGAATGTATGCTATCCATGTGCACACATTGTCTTGGCAAAAAATCAAACGTCATTTATGAAGTTTATGCACCTTTAAGCAAAACCAAATAGATTGATGGGTGTCTCTGCTTTATTATCAGCTCGATATTTTCCTTATCGATCAGGATTTATTCAGAATAAAAGGTCCATAAGCATTGAATATTGCCTACAGCATAAAGATCATCTTTATATATAGTTCAATGCAGTCCAGAAAATAAACATCGAGGTCACTATCACACCAACCTCACGTCCATTTCCATCAAATTCTTGGGAAGGCAACAGCTAAGACAACATTATTTTAAAGCCCATATATAGTTCACCCTCAAAACAGGTAATCAGTAGCCTTACCGGCCGGCCAGGTAAGCCTATCTCTCCCTTCGTGCCATTGGGGCCAGCAGGACCCTGAAAAATGCGACAACAAAAAGAAAAACTCAGTCATCAAAACTGCGATTCAACATCCCAGACATGATGTGCGTCGGTGCAGTGAGGAGTGAGGCAAAGGTCATTTTCCGGATTTACCAGCAAGCCTTCTGGGCCCACAGGGCCAGGGTCACCCTTGGTGGAAACAAAACAAAACAAACAAAAAAGGGAAGAAATTAATATTAAGTGTAAAGCACGATTACGAATCCTTATTTTGTCAACAATTAATTAATATTAAAATTGAGTACGTGATGACGTATACAATAGAAAATTACGTGACTTGTTTAGCAGTGACCACACTCCATTTAAAAAAATATATATTAACAATCATAATTGTTTTTTTACCATTCTATCTGGCAACAAAACTGACACTTTTTTTACAAGGAGTCATGTTTGCATTGACCACAATACCTGTGGTCGGAATGCAAAAAAAACACCTCTGATAATGTATGCACTGTCCTTGAAATTGATTGGTCCACACCCGAGACAGCTTTTCCTAGAGCCTAGTCTCACATGGTGTTGGACCAGATGACGCCATCTGTGTTTTTGTTTGCATTCCGACCGCAGGTATTGTGGTCAATGCAAACATGACTCCTTGTAAAAAATGGTGTCAGTTTTGTTGCCAGATAAAAGGGTAAAAAAACAATTATCATATTTTGCTACTGGCAAAGGAGGTTCCAATGGTGTAATATGAACACGTTATGAACTGTCCAAATTGGTTTTATGATACAATATTCCTCTTATGCAGAATGACCACTGCCCCAATGTCACCTAATATAGTTTTGGGCAGTCTTATTGATGAATGCATTGAGGTTTTGTTGTTTGTGCTTTGGCACCACATACCATTGCAGTATCAGAACAAAAACGTGTTTTCAGTCAAAGTAAATCGCAATACGTGCTATTTCAAAAGAACTAAGTTGAATCTTTAAAGTGGAGAACCGCAAGCCGTGTAGTCCAGCACAGATGCACACCTTCTCCCCTCTGTGTCCAGGAAGGCCGGCCATTTCAAGAAGCAGAGACCCATCTGGGCCGATAAAACCACCAGGATCTCCTTTCTCACCCTGAACATTCAGGAAGAAAGAGAGAGATATGAAGCAGAGGTAAATAAAGACGGGAAGAGGAAAAACTGAGGAAACCATTGATATACAAAGCAAACATGAACACCCAAACACATATCGCTCTGATCATTACATTTGGGTATTTACATATTTTAATGGCAGTTTACTTCAAGCTTACATTCATTCACTTCATAAATTCAAATATTTCTCATGTGAACGGATATTGTAAATAATGATTACAAATAATTTAGAAACATTTTCTTGTTGAGACTAATGCAAGTAAGAATATTGATGGTAATACAGTAACGCAATTTAGTCCACCACTGAGTTATCATTATACGTTGCTGAAGCCCTCTCACCTTCATGCCGATGGAACCTGCTGAGCCGTCCATCCCAGACTCTCCCTTGGGTCCCCTAGGGCCCTACAGACAAAACATGCGAGCCACCAAATGATTTACAGTTGTTCAGTGAAAAATACTAAAGCAATGTATGCAATGAAAATGTGTTTATATTATATAAAAATATGCATAACAATAACTTGATCAGAATAACTACGGTCAAGGTCATATTAAAATAATCTCAAACTTGATCAAATTTTGGTCTTTGATCATTAATACTCACAGGAAAGCCAGCTTGTCCAGGCAGGCCCTCTGGTCCCTAAAAATTTAATCGGTGACATTTAATGTGAGTAATCACCAATAAATCTAATGTATCATAACACACGAGCAGACTTTACTCTAACTTCATCAAATACTGAGATATCTTGCACGTTCTACAAAATATCTCATAAACCCAGTTCTAATCAACAAAATGTTTCCACAACCATGAGGCTTGCAATGTGATGATGCGGTTTAATAAAATTATAATTGATTAATTTTAACATCTTTTTGCAGGGTTTGCACAAACACATACGTGCAGGCTGGAAAACTATATATTGTAACGTACCGGCAGGCCTGATGGGCCTCTCAGATTTCCCAGAAGTCCCTCAAAGTCATTCAGCCCCTGCAACGAAATGACACTCACAGCCTTATTCCTTTCACAAAATTTTGGAATCTATAGTCAGCAGGTATTCAACACCGTTCACAAAATAAAGTCTCAGCAGCAGGGAATTCTTAAGGCCCAGGTGCCATGAGGTGCCATGAGGACTGCGTGACCCTGAACGTAGCCCAAATTTAGATAAATGTAACTGTGTTTACATGCCAATTGGGTTTCCAGTTACGTATCTGTTATCCGCAAGGTAAAAAAGCATCAATCAATGATTCCGTTTAAGTTTTGTTGTGGTGAAATAAAGCTACAGTACCTTTAAGACGCGTAAATATTTAATTCTCTACAAAGTTGCACGGAAGTGGTGGCTGCCTGCACTTAAGCCCTTGCCCTCTGGCAGTTGTCCGTTTCTCCGCAATCTGCTCTCATTTTCCAATACATACATTTAAAAATTGGAGTAATAAAACATCTGCTTTCTTACTGCGGCCAGGCGTCAATGAATTAAAAATAAAAGAACAGAATAAATACAAAAAAACTGCTTCTCCACTTTTTCAGTCTGCACACATCTTGAGCACTTTTCTCCAGTTGTACCTCGAGTAGGGCTGGGCCTGGAGGCCCAGGGAGGCCAGGAAGGCCTGGTGGTCCAATGACGCTCTCACCATCACGACCTGTTCCACCCTGGAATAACACGAGGACAAGATGGCACAGCACAGGGAATTTCACCATAGGCCGATGGGTGCATAACAACGCATTACTTCATGAAATAAATAAGCTCTTATGCTTGTGATACACGCATGGAGTCTTGGGTGCAAGAACAGATTATTTTTGATTCGTACACATGTTGCATTTCATTCGTTCACATGACCCTTACAGCTACTGGAAATGATCAATTACAGCCAGTCACAGTCAGCCTTATTGGTCAATTGTGTTGAACAGAAATGTTACAATTGGTCCTTGCAAGTCATCATCGTTTTCGCCTCTTCCTGTGGTACATGGAACTTCCAGAGATGTTTGGTCATTTGATTTCAGGCCGTTCGTGATTTTCCCTCGATGCCTGTTCTTTCCAGATGGCACCAACTCTAGGTGTGATCTAGACAGCCACTCCACATATGATCTAAAGCCTCTAGATACCCACTTCATGTACATTCTACACAGCCGGTCACAATTTATATGGTGCATGTGGCCAAACCACATCAACCTGTGCATCCTTATTTCCGTGACACAGAGTTGGCCAGTTCTACAACGCACCGCAATACCCAATGAAAACCTCAAATCATGACAAATTGTTAAATGACAAGGGTGTGAATCAATGTAGGCCTAATAGCTGACACTCCCAAGCAAGCAGTTAATATCCACCTTATTGAAAATCCGCACCAAGCACATTTACAATTAAGGCCAGTATATGCCATGCCAACCTGGATAGCATAAACAGCCACGTCATTCTACTGCTTAGGTTGTGACGTATATCTCTCTTGATGTATTTTTGGGTGGCACCGTGGTGTTGCTCAATAAAATGCCTGACATTTTGCTCCGCTTGCTGGGAGCTTCTTGAGTAACTGCACTGAGAAACTCACCTTCTCCCACGATCAATCAACAGACATCTTCCTTATTAATCCAGGCAGAGAACGAGCTTCCCAATTCAAACAGCGCACGGTACCACCCGAAAACACATCAGAGAACTGGTCATGTGTCACTGTGGGTGCAGTTGTTGCAGTGCAGGTTCGCCGTGAGAGCAAAGATGCTGAGTGCAGTCGCCCTCATTCTTGTAACCCGCTTAAGCCCTGTGCTGCTGTATCAGCACTTATTTCTAGAGAAATTAAAGCATAACTCCTAGCGCAAATCGAATCACTACCATTACATGCTCATGGTGAATTTCCCTTTGCCATTTTGCTCGTGTGTTTTCATTATGTTGAGTGGTACACCACAACAAGGATATTTTAGAAATGTCAGAATTAGTGATAGTGATAATCCATTGTGTGGCTTCTTTGTTACCTGTTCCCCTTTGTTGCCCTTTTCACCTATAGGGCCCTGCAAAAAAAATACACGTAATTATATTCAGCAACGTGTACATTTCACATTGCTGGTATTGAGTGTTGTTGTTGTTTTATTCCTGCTCGAGCGATGTAAAGAGTACAATGCGGCTTCTGCTAGATGTCTCTCACCCTTACCTGGGGACCAGGTAGCCCAGGGTTGCCTTCCTCTCCAGCAGGCCCTATTGGTCCCGCCAACCCCGGGACTCCCTGTTGGAAAATGGTCTTAAATGCTCGTACGTATTCACACACATGGACAGCGCCATTGGGGGAGGGGGGGGGGGGAATATTGTCCCCGAACTTAACAAACAGAGGGTGTAGGGGAGGGGGCAAACAATAAACTCTCCATAGAAGCCAATCTTTTTTTATTTTAATCGTAAAAAGTATGATTATTAACACGCATGTTTTACTCTAAAAAATGCAATAGCATGCGTTAAAAAGTATAAAATTGTGTCACTGCAGTGGAGAAACGCTGTAGCAGATGGCTACAACTGAATCTTAGGCAGGGACTTTAACCCCTGTTGTTCAAATGTTAAACTAGGCTTCCTTCTGTCCTATCCCCTGGGCTATAGCGTCTTCACGCAGAAGATAAATATTTATTCCAACTTAATATCTGTAGCGTCACATCATCCCCCAGACTCTGGTCCCACCGCCCAGAAATATCCATCAGAGTAATTTAATAATTATGACAACTTCTATAGTGCGGTAACATTGAAGCCGTTACAAGGGCCCAACAACTTGTAAAACAGTGATGCTGCTCACGTTCAGCTGTATATCTAAACCATTTCCTCATCCCTAGGAGTCTGCGAGTTCAATAGCATGCCCGAGCGAGATATCTGTGCAAACTGCCTCGATGAAAATTACATTAATTATTGAACTAAGAAGGAAACTCCTTTCTGGAAATAATATTGGTAATTAAGATTGTAAAACGCCACAAAAAGACACCTATGGCGAAGCATCAAGTCTGCATTAACCACACATAGTGGTACAGGTGGCGAAAAAATATCCCGTGTAAGTTGTATATATGTGATAGCATCAGGGTTATGGGTTGCTCCCATGCTGCGCTTTGAATGTTTACCCATGGTACTCACTCGAGGGCCTTGGTCCCCTTTTTCTCCCTTTTCACCCTGACAGGCAGACGGCACATTCATGCTTAAAATGTGGCAGGACGTGATGAAGCATTACTCGCACTGAGTAGATCGCAGGGCAAATGGTGTTTTTAAATGTTCCCAAATGTTTCATGTTTGATTTTAAAAAGTGGGTTTTCATGCAGATACTAAATAAGTTCATTGTAGAGTCATAAATCAAATTATAAGCAGCAGTGGCATGGTGCATGAAACATCAAGAGGTACAGTTTTCTGAGCCACACAAATGTCATTTGACAGACTTACTCTGAGGCCTGGAAGTCCTGATGGTCCCACTGGACCAGGTAGCCCTGGTTCTCCCTGTGAAAAAAAGTTAGTGATGGTACTAAATTAGCTGAGCAATATTTAGAAGTGCATTGATAACAATAAACACAAATGGACAACAGAATGCCAATTCCAGAGACGATGGAATGGTTCAGGTGTAATGTTTTTTTCAGCCTCAATGTTTGACTCATGTATAAAGATCTGTGATTAGCCTCTTCATAAAGTGAGGTTGACAGAAAGTCATTGAGTAAACCATCACCGAAACTCGGCTTATAAATGTCATAAGTAAAGATCAACATTCCATTACGTCAAGTGAAGGTCAGCAAATTTGGCTGTCTATTCATTCCTAACTCCTTGTATGCCACCGCACTCCCATGCCATGTTCCTGACACCACGGGGAAGTGACTTGGTCTGGTCATCAAACCTGGTAAGCCGCGGCTGCCTGGGGAACCAACCGAGCTGCGCGGAGTCACTTTCCCAAGGGGCATGCAGGTTTTACCCGGACCGCCCTTGGATGCAGTCGGGAACATCATGGCGTCAAAGTGGAAATGGCACGAGGAGTTAAATGGCGTCCCTTGCATAGTTCAAAATAAGATTACGTATAAATATTTTTTTGACAAAAATTATCTGGACATTTATATTTAAATGAATATAGAAAACCGTCTTTTTTTTAGGATTAGTATTACATATCACACGCTGGTGATACATTTTGAAAATGTTATTTATTTTCATTTAAAATCGCTGCCTTCTGGCCATTGAGAGAAGAGAGGTGGTTGGAGGAATGAAGTGGGAATGTTCGAGCCCATGGAGTGTTTTAGGAGGTCCACTAAAACATTGGAATGGCTCAGCACATCTCAGGTCTGCTTTACAATGGCTATGATAACGCAACACTCGTCCGTAGATCAATGCTGAGAGTGTCTCTTCCTGGGCCAGACGGAGTGCCTAAAATTAAATCACTCTGATTGAAAGGCAAAGTTTTGATGAGCTAAAGCAAGAAAAGTTTGCTTCTGTCCAAGAGTGCAGTGAAGTGCACTGGAGTGATGCTACCACATCGATTAACCAGTAGGCACTTACATTTTATAACAATAACCACATTTTATCAAACAATAACCATTGCCACTTGCTTTTTTCTAAGTGCAACCTCATAATTTAAAAGCATCTTTTGTTTCTGAGCTACGTCCCGTTATTTAAGACAGAATGCTGCAGCTACTAAACTTCTCATCTGCACCTATAAAGAGGGGACCGCATCACCGCAATACTTCCAATTTGTCCAATGACTCCCAATCCAATCATGGAGCAATTTCAAGATTGTGCTCACATCTTTAAAATCCTCTTTGGGACTCGTACCTACCTTTCTCCTCTCATCTCACTCTCTTCCTATCCACAGGCTCTCTGCTTCAGCAAACCATGCTTTTTGTCAAAGTGCCCTGTCAACTTTCACCCAGTAGGAAGACGATCATTACTCCTGTGCTGCCCCCATCGTCTGCAATGCCCTCCCCCAGTCCGTGCTGTTGACTCCCTGCCAGTGTTCAAGTCCAGACCAAAGAACTCCCTTTGTTCCTGTGCCTGTAAACAAACTGCTATAAATTAAATATCTCCCCTATTTTTGTGCATCGTCTGGAGATGCGGTTGTACTAAGACCCTATATATCCCCATGTACTGTATAATTAGTGATATTATTTTTGTTTCCATGCAGGTGGACATGACTCTTTATTTCTGTCAGGATATTGGGCTGAACTTGTGGTACAGTAATGGTGATGCCTATGCCAGGAGTTATCGTGCGACCATGGGTGTGGCACTCACAGCAGCCCCTGCACGGGATTTGGATCCAACGCCAGAGCCTTCCTCCTCCTAGGAACCACACAAATACGACGCATTAGGCAAGCAAAATCATTTACTGTGAAGACAAAATACGTGGGCTTGGGTAGGTCACGTTGCTAGAGGGGATTGTGTGGCCAGTTGTGGAAAATAACAACGGGGTGGGCAGCCAACATGGGGGAACGTTCGCCACGAAGATGGAGTGATGAAATTAACTTGTTTTCCAGGTGCTAGGTGAATCGTTACATCGCAGGAGCATGAGTGATGGTGACGGCTTTGGGAGGCCTTCATCCAGCTGTGGAGTTATTCTGGCTGATGTTGATGAAATGCATTCTGATGTGAATAACGTAATGGGCCAACGGAAGTACATTTTTAAACAATTACTTAATTTTTGCAATATAAATTTAAAACTACAGTAAAACCTTGGATTGCGAGCATAATTCGTTCCGGAAACGTGTTTGTAATCCAAAGCACTCGTATATCAAAGCACTCATATACCAGCTGTGATCACGTGACGCTCGGCAGACAAAGCATATACGTGCTACTCGAATTGCAAGACCCTCGCTCGTTTATCAAATTAATATTTTTTTCAAATTTTTGCTCGTCTTGCAAAACACTCGCAGACCAAGTTACTCGCAATCCAAGGTTTTACTGTATTTAAGTACACAGGGACATTATTTATTCTAAATTTATTCCATAGTATGACAAGACAAAAGACAATTCAGAAATATTTATTAACAAAAATACGTATATTAAGGAACTCTTTCAAATGTTCAAAATAAGCATTGTCAGCTAATTCTGTGTGAATTGTTTTACTACAAACTGACTTTCTAATCTTTTAATGCATCTGCTCCGTGTGTTTCTTAAACGGAAGGTACATACAGAGCAAAGACCTTACACACTCCTAAACTCACCTCAAATAAGCTCACTCTGGTATGTGCGGGAGGCCCTGGTGGACCCGGAGGTCCAATTGGGCCAGGCAACCCCAGTGGACCAGGGGCCCCCTGAGGGCCCATCAACCCTGGAGATCCAGCATCACCCTGCACAAGAGAGGGAAAATACACGAGATTACAGTGATGGCAAGTGGTGGTAACACAGACTATGTCATACAAAATTAAGCCTTTTAAAAACAATGTTTTAGTCATTATTTATATTGTAATTGTGCTATCCGTGCCTTGCCACAATAAAATTAATTTACACTTGGAGCACTGCAGCTTACCATCCATCACCCAGAGATCAACCCTGGAAGATGATGTCACAGAGCTACTTCTGAAGTTAGTTAAGAGCCTCTATCCAAACTAGGGGCACACATTTAAATGCACAATATCTATTTGGTTTTTGTTACATGCCCACCAAAAATATGTGGAATAGCTAAAGCTGGAATGTAATCGAATAAAGTGAAAAAAGAAAATGTATTTTATGGATTTCATTCAGTCAGTGACCAGGCTGAGGTCATAAACTTACTACGTCTGCTACAATTAAAATCCAGGTTCTCAGGAGTGCCAGTTTAGTGCTGCCGTCTAGGTCACCCGGATACCTCTCGAATGCATTTCATGTGAACACGGTGCTTGTAGATGTTTACAATTGTTTTATTAAAGATGTTGCTTTGTTTTCATTTTAACTCTTGTCTACATAGTTTAATTACACATATAGCCTAATTGAGTTCCAATTAGGCCCTGCATTTGGATGTCTGGGTAATATACTTAATGAGTGTTTTGCATTTTGGAGGAAACTATAGTATTCAAAGAAAAGCCAAATAGATGGGGGTGGGGGGGGGGGAACACATTGGTCCGCACAGATGGGTTCATAAACCCACGAGCTGGACTGCCATATTTTCATATTTGGCCACCTTGTGGACCAGAAGGCTAACACATTTACGTGATCCATCAACCCTTCCCTCCAAAGTGCTGGCTTACGAACATGTGCTAACAAGCTCAGATATAATCAACGTTAGTGTATGGTAAATATTTACTTTGAGTATATCCACCATACAGCTAACTGTAGGCAACATGGCCGTTCTTATAATAAGAATCATGTGCCCAACAATTTTAGCCCTTTATATACTCCACATGCTTCACAAAAATAAGCAATAAAAGATTCAACATTGAAAAACATCAATAACTTTATTGTAGTCTATCCCAAGTGTGCTTTTGGCATCATGTCATGAACTATAGATTCCATTCGGATCTCTGGCAGAACAATGCAACCACTTGTGCTCGAGAACAGCCCAAGTGAATATCACAGAGCTACATCTGAGACCCCTTCAAGGTGATCTCTGATCCACACAATAAGAGGCAGCACTTTCCCCTTGGCTCTGCTAATGACGGTAATTCTTGGTGTATCACCAATATAAAAATGTAGAACGTTCCCAAAACTATTATTAAGGCAACTCGAGTACAGAATCAAATTTAAAGTGATAGATTTTGTGCAGTAATTGGTGACTGGGCAGAGATCATCAACTCACTACACTTGAGAACTCAATTTAAGTGGCTGCCTCGATTTGAACCCAAGGAGATCATTAACATGTTAATTTTGAAATTAGTCATGATGCATGAATTTCATACCTTTGGCCCAACTGGCCCAGCCTTTCCTGCCTCTCCGCTATTTCCCTGTTATGAGGGGGGAAATACAAAAGCAAAAATATCTCAACATCATCCATTTAACATCATCACTGTCATGGGTATTATTAACTGTTCACACTGCGGTAAACACACATAGATGAAAACTTGCCTTGTCTCCTTTGACCCCTTGTTGACCCGGAAGTCCATTCTTCCCAGCAGGGCCCACAGGTCCCTGAGAAGGATCCAATACAGAACATGAATGTGCACCCAATCTCTGGAGTTGCCACCTCTGAGGCTCAAAAATATCTCACAGTATGGTAAGAGGGAATAACTGCAAATAACTGCATCATCTTGAATGGCGTGTTATTGCAAAAAATTAAACAAACAATTGTACTTTAAATGTCCTGGAAAGATGTACAAATTTCCCAAGATAGCTACCTCAAAAAGAGAATGTTCTAGGAAAGACAGGAAAAATGGCAACCCTCGGAGCGCTACATCAATTCCAGTAAAACTCTGAAGTGTATATGAATATAGCAATTGCTGAATTAAAAGCATTGCCTCACAAAGCTGAGAAGAAAACTGCAATAATCATTGACACATTAATTCACTAAAACACTTATAAAATTTTCTTTCAGAAAATGTAATATTAGTCTACATAAACACCATTTAATTTTTAAAGACATAATCTATCATCTAGCTGCAAAGAATGAGAAATACTTTTTTTTTATTCATTAACACAAATACATTGATAAAAAAAACATGGAGTTATTGTTTTGGTAAAAAACAACAACATATGCAGATTGGACGGGATGGAAGTTCTCAGTTTAAAGATGCAGAGGTGGAAAGAGATGGAAATACCATTGTAAGGAAATATGGTTTGAAGAACATGGTCATACACCAATGGCCCAAAGGGGCCAGCGGACGAAAACAAGACTATTATTATATTGCAAAAACACTCTGCTCAATGAAATGCAAAACTTTAGAGACAACAGACCGGCGCCCCCTTGGATCCTGGTACGCCGGCCAATGCAGTGAGGGAACTCAGATTGCCCGGCTGTCCAGGGGGCCCAGGAACACCAGGAGAGCCCGGAGGCCCGGGAACGCCGGGAGGACCCCGGGGACCCTGCCACAAGGGGTCACATCATGACATATGGCATCAAGTGTTACTTCCTGGTGATTCACAGGACTATAATATTACATTGGGAACTATAGTAACGATAATCTATTTTCCCAAGGATGTCTGCCACGGAGATGGAACAATGAGAACAGCTTGTGAGTAGGTGCTGGGTGGGTTGTTGCATTACAGAACGGCGAAGGATAGTGATGGCATGGGGAGGCCTTCATCCAGCAGTATATTGATTATTTCTGATGATAAATTATGCCCCAGGAAACCCTGGAAAAGTAGAACGTTGGGTCAACGTTGGGCCAATGGTTCCAACCACATCCCAACGTTGGCCCAAGGTTGCATGCCACTGGAAAGTCTCACAGACTCTTTTCTCACTGGGCTATTTGTAAAAGCAAGGTTCTACACCGAGACGTTTGGCTAATTCCATTAAGGAGTATTTAACATATGTGGGAGGACTCCACAATGCCTGGAGAAAACCGATACATACAAGGGGTAACATTTTTAGCTTTGTGGTTCTGTATAATTGATGAATCCAATACTTTTCGATTTAAAGCTTTCGTGACTGCAGGGATTCATATTCTTGGTTCTTTCGGTAAAGTCACGTAGAAGGGAAATAAAATAATACAAATAAAACAATCATTTTTTTATTGTTTTATTTTTACCGAAAGAATCAAGAATATGAATCCAATACTATACAGGCATATCCTTGGCAACTTCATAGCAACACCTGATATTGTTAGCAGACCCCACAAGGTATATTCAACATTTTCCACAAACAATTTTGCAAGAATTTAAAGTGTAGCGGTAAAGCCTCACTCGGATTGTGTCTGTGTCATCGTCATCGGAGTCACCTGACCCGTCGGCATCACCAAGGTTCTGAGGAAAATTTAAAGAGTGATTAGCACAAATTAACTTGGGCAGCTTCAGAGGTCAAATCAATTTCCAGGTTCACCTCCTCCAACCACATTTTGCACACCGCGTGCACTCCAGCCACGACCAATTTGATTCCACAAATGCCTCAATTATGTAGCTGCGCTTGGCACAGCCACGTTTCAAAGCTGCCCGAGTCGTTTCAAGGCCCCGGTTACGGTTATTCAGTTGAGGAAATTGTTTCCATTAAAAATCAAGTCACTTGAGGTAATCAATCCCAGATTTGAAGCTTTCGTGACTGTAAGGATTCACACTCTTTGCTTTTTTTCGGTAAAGTCACGTAGGTAAAAAATAAAATTTAAAATGAAAGAAAACAACTAAATTAAATCACGACGTTTCGGGGGCAGCGATCTTGCTGTGACTGTTCCACCTGAAGACGGAAGCTTGTGTTGCCTCCGAAACGTCGTGATTTAATTTAGTTGTTTTCTTTTATTTTAGATTTGATTTTACCTACGTGACTTTACCGAAAAAACCCAAGAGTAGTAATCAATCCCATTAATTAAAACAGCTAATTCATTCATTTGAGCCTATGCAGCCTCGTTACATATAATAACACGTTGTTTTTGTATGCTGCAATGGGAGATCAAGTGGCGCGGTGGAGCAGTGGTTAGCGCGCTGTAATATGAACCCAGCGACCTGAGTTCGATTCCCAGGCAAGGCTCGCATCAGTGGTGATTTATACCAGAATCAATGCTGCCCAACCAACTCCGCCAACCCGCAATGACCACTATGGTAAAGTGTGATCAAACAATCCCCTTGACCAACATGGCATGGGGGCGGGCTTTAGGCCAGCGGTGGATTAACATGGGCTGCAAATGGGCTGCAAGTTATTATGTACTCAGAGGTCAAGCGAAAGCCATTGTGGCAGGACAGGGTGATATTACCAGTCTGCTGCGTCGTCCTGTGGGGCCAGGTGGCCCAGGAGGGCCAGGTGGCCCAGGGAGGCCTGCTTTTCCAACTCCAGTTTCACCCTGTGATGACGACACGAGTTGCACATCATACATTTTTTTTCATCCCTTTAATGCAAGCACACTTTGGGAAAATAAAAAAGAGAGAGACTCAAACGGAATTTGCATCGATTTTGTTAACACACAGACTCACTTTTTCTCCTTTAAGACCAGGATCTCCTGCAATTCCTGGAAAGCCAGGGGGACCCTTCTCTCCCTGCACAAGAATATAAAAAATACAACACACACGTAACAGTGACAGGTGTCTATAACAAGCAGACGTCATGGTGCTTTCTGTTCATACGTGTATTTCTGTGCAATATTTATTATTGTGTTATTTATTTACTCTTGCGTATGCTATTCTTTGCGAAAGAAAAAGAAAATATTTCCTGGAGGAACATGAATGAATAACAACACAGCAAATGTATACTTGTATTATTCAGGGTGGATCACGATCAACATCATGAAATAAAGAAGAGTGGAAAACTGAACTTGACAATGAAAAGCAAAAAACCAAGGTACCTAAAGAAGAAATGTTAAATCATGTATATTACTCACTGTAACTTATGCACCAGAAACACATGGATCAGGGATTGAATCCAAATATGAGACATCACATTTGTCTGTTAAACAAAGTTAGTGGACTTGGGAAGGACACATTGGTTGAAGGGATGATGGTTAAGGCAGGTAATGGAATAGCAGCCAGAAGAGCAATCATGGCCAAGTGAAAGACCACTGCAGAGGGATGAGAGATGGAAACAACTTGGAGAAGCTTTCATTAAGCAGTAGAAAGATCATGGATGATGATGATAATGATGTGCGCTATATAACTTACAGGAAGACCATCTTCTCCTGGGTCACCCTGGCAAATGAACACAATACAAATATAATTAATGCTCACTTCTCAAAGGGTAATCAGACCTCTATGACACTAATTATAGATCAGAGCAAAATAAGATGTTTTCCAAAATTGGATTGTAGAAACATCAGGCATAAGTATGAATGACACATATATTAACAATCTCTAATTTGCTAACAAAATCATTACAATGGCCAATACAGATCTCACAACAAAATACATCAAAAATCGTTGTTTTGACCTTTGGAAATATAAATCGATTAACTTTCAAGCAAAAAAATTACAACAGAGGATGATGGAGAGTCGTGTAAAACGAGAAACGAGGACTGTGACGAGGACATGGACAGGGAGTGTGCAATGGTCACGTACGGGTTCGCCAGCATCCCCAGTTGGGCCAGCTGGGCCAGGAGGGCCCGGGGGCCCAGCGAGGCCCTCCACCAGCTGGGCAACTGAGCCGTCCCCTCGCGGCACCACTGACGTCACGGGACCTGGGAGGCCAGGCTGACCTATGGGGCCCTGGGGTCCAACGTCACCCTTGCCCCCCTTTGGCCCAGGATAGCCAAAGCCCGCTCCACCCTGAAAATGTTAAAGGAAAAAATTGGACCGAGCGCAGGAAATTAGGCCAATATGACGAATGACAAAGAATAGAGCATTAAGTTGAGCTGTAACAGTCCCTGCAGGGTGGACCGGTAGGACAAGTCTCTGCGCTGTCTATTGCTGATTTTACACCCAACAGCACGACATTTCACTTCGTTAAAGTATTGAAAGGGGACGGACGGACGGACACATTAATCTATTGCAGGCTGGTACACTCAGTTTACAACTTCGTTCCTACCAGTAAAAATACACACATCTATAACCAAATTACCCAGAATGTGTCCAATCTCAGCTAAGCAGGCTTTATCGTCTGCATAGTGCTTGGATGAACGACCACAATGCGTAGGCTGCTACGATACGCAGAAGCCGTGACACCTGCGTGTGGGCAGCGGTAGGCAATGCAGAACATTTTATTTTTGACTGTACTTTGCTCTCAGCCTTCACCAACCCACACACTGACCAGCATTGTGAAGTATGGTCATATAACCCAAACAACCCGCAAATCGTGGGCAGGTCTTCATCCAGCCGTATATTTACAGTATTGACAGTACATGTTAAGTGTACATTGCGTGTCAATGATAGTTAACCAATTGAGCACATTAAACTATTTCTGTATGAGAGTTTTGTATTAAACTGGACACCTATTAAACATGCACTATAAACAATTGAAACATAATTGTCTTTATATTTGTTTCTATGATTGTCGCAGGGGAACACCTTTACAATGACTTAACACCCTGGAACATGCCGATCAATAACATTACGAAGCTTAAGAAATTACCTTCACGCCAGGATCTCCAATGTCACCCTGCAAATATATATAAAATGATTAGTAGTTGAAACAATAACGAATAAATAAATATATGAAATTGAATGCATTCCAGTTTAACACCTCTGTTCAACGATGATATCAGGGTATTATTGGGGGATCCTATTATTGCAAAAAATACTCCTGATATCTGCGTAGCAATCTGTAGATAACTGTGAGCAGGATGAGTTTACCGCCACTTATACAGTCACTCTTCTTGACTAAGAAAACGAATGGCTGTGCTGCAATTGGTACTTCTTGGGTACCACTTCCAATGAGTCTCTACCTGCATGTAAGTGCAGATCATGGGATAAATTTGGCACCATTTCAAGGAGACTCTTCTAATCCTTAAATAAGTGCCCGGTCATAGGAAGACTCGATGCATGTGGACGAAAGGAAGAGTCGATAACAGAAGCATGGTATGAGACGAATTTCACCGTAATATTCGTGGGGGGGTGGGGGGGGGGTACCTTTTCTCCCTTGATTCCAGGAATGACATCACCCGTCATGATGCCGGTGTCTCCTTTGGGCCCGGGTGGACCCTGAGTGCCAATCTCGCCCTTCTCTCCCACGTCGCCCTTCAGACCAGTGTCCCCCTGCTCACCCTTGGCACCGCCAGCACCTACGAAGCACAAGAGAAAGAGGCCAGTCAGTGTCAGGGTCATCCAGGTCCCACTTGCAGCATATCATCGCAGCTTCTCCCCGCATCGATTTCTCAATTAGTGGGTGCTCCGTTAAAAATAACCAAGCAGGGGAAACAACTTGAATTAAAAACTTTATTTGTACGAGTTTAATTAAAGCATTGTATTTTCCAGAATGGAATATTTATTGACTTACTTATTTCAAGCTACTAATGGTGTTGTGTACTGTGAATTATATGTTGTGTTTATAGTAGTGTCTTGACTGTAACTGCCTGCAATTGCATAGAATCTGTTACATGCAGCAAATGTTTACTATAGAACAAAATAAAAAGGATGTACATATTTATATCCTGTTCATAAGTAGGCTACGTTTATTTTGAAGGAGATATATATTGTTATTCATTCCATAGATCTTTTAAATATATAAATGGCACTTATTTGATAAAAAAAATAGTGAATTGTAAACCCAATGTTTGTGAAGGCGTAGCTAAGGGTTAATTAATCACCAATACCCACCTGTTGGGCCAAGAGGGCCTCGCAAGCCAGGAGTCCCTCGACCTTCAGAGGCATCCGAACCAGCTTCGCCTACAAAATGGAAGCAGTTCATCGTGTAAACAAGGATTCTTGAGTGATGGACACAAGATGTCTGATGGGCATAATTAAAGCTACCAAATTTACGGGCGGGTCAACCGTGCCACAGGGCAAGCTGACAAGTCTCTCCTTCCGCAAGCCTCACCCACCTTGATATCGCCACGTCACTAGCACCGCCAAACAAAAGGGTGTCCACATTGACATTGCCCCCCCCCCCCACTACTACTCTTTATACCCCCCAACCCCACGAACTTACTAAGGTAGCTCCACCCTTTTGCTCGAGTCTTGAGCCAACCAAAATCCCCATTTTACATAAATTGTCCAGGACACTGTGGCAGCCTTTCTGAAAGTGTAGAGTCCAGGCCAAATCCAGGACAGTTTGCAGCTTCAGCCATCAGATCGATGGCTCGGGCTCCAACGTGCTCACCTTTCTGGCCTTTAAGTCCAGGGCTGCCACTTTCCCCATGCTCCCCCTTTTCCCTCCTCAAAAGCGCCTCTCCAGGTTGGCTTGCCACAATGGCTGCCTCCTCCCGTGCTGGCTGTGTGTCCTCCTTGAGAGGAGGATGGGCCTCCACCTTGGAGCGAGAGTCTGACTCTGGCCGAAGCCGGGCGTCGTGGCCTGGTCTGGGCCTTCTCCTCTCGGGCGCCATGGTGGGGGGAGGTCTTAATGGCTGCTGGTTGGGGTGGCGCGTCACCTGTGCGGTAAATTAATGATAATTATAATATGCGAGGCCATACGTCAGCTAAAATACCTCAAGATAGAATTTACTGCATGGGTATAGTACGGTGTACTTTCATAACGTTAATGCTTTGGTCATGCAATGGTTAGCACATTGGACTTGTAATTCATAGGTCAATGGTTCGACTTATTGGCATGGCAATTGAAAGAATGGGCACGTTTATTAATTTCCCCACGTCTGTCAACCCAGCAGCATGGATGCGATTAGCACAAGCTTCAGGTAAACTTCAATTGAAGTAAAAAAAATCGTACGTTACAAGCACAACACATCACTTGTAATGCTTGGGAACCACTCTAAAGTACTTTAAGACTTTCACACTGGGAAGTCTTTGACCGATGACTGTGTGGTACTGTAATAATACAATGATCCTCAAGGGGGCAGAATAACCACTGCCCTTGAAACGGTCTCCACAGAAAACCCATAACCAATTGCCATCTGGAAATAGCATTTCACAAAGGAGCAAATGGAAAATAGCCACTTTATAACAGACTACACTAAATTCTCAGATATTGAGTTTTCTTCCTTACTGCACAAGCCATTTCATACAGTCAATGAGGGCAAATAGGCTGTGTGCTATTTGTGTTAAATTCCTGTGGTGCTCCCACACAGGAAGACTTTATTGTGAATGTCTTGCAAGAGTGTGGCTGGGGAGATTTTATACGGTAAGATTGGTGGTTTGCCTCCTCTGGGGTACAAAAAACCAGGAGATATCATGGGAAGAATATATCACAATACCAGAAGAGGAGGGGAGAACCAACAATCAGGACATTAAATGTGCCAGGACGTGAGGATGTCCTGGGAAACCAAGGACAGGTGGCAATTCTAAATATTGGGTGCAGAAGCAGCTCACCGTCTCCACGTTCCCCGATCCTCCGGTCTCGCTATGATCGTGCTCACTCTCTACGTCTTCCTCGCTCTCTTCCTCGCTCTCTCCATCCCCGTCGTCGTATCCACTGCCCTCCTCACCAGATGCCTGCAGCACCAAGCAAGGTAGGGGTTTACGAGCGACACAAAGCACACCGTCGCATTCCGGGGTGTCAGCGCTACGCTGATCAAAATAACTACATTTTGGAGTATGTTTTCTTGGGACATGCACGACATATTGTGCAAATACACGGTCTACAATAGGTCATGTTTGCATTCCCAGCCAGAGTTTAAGAAAAGTGACCTTAACACCCCAAAAAAAACCACCATAGAGGTAAGTCATTGCATGAAGATTGACTATCAATCTTTATGCAACAGCATGCAATTGTTGTTAATCCACCTCCACGGACCACCCATGCGGTGGACAATTATCAGAGTCCAATAGCAGACCACAGTGCCACCACGCTCTGGAACACACCAGAGGTTATGCCATCGTTTTTTCTCCATCACTCACCCGCTTAGCGTCTCTTGAGGAATGTACCTGTGTGATGTGTGAATACAGTAAACACAACAGCCCTGTTTGCATTCAAAAATAGACCCAGAATAAACACACGAATGTTTGCACTTGGCTTCTCAGATAATTGTGTTTGTATGTGTGCTCTTCTATTAGTTTAGTCTGGATAATTGCTTTTAGCTCAGTGTGGTTCATTGCCAGGTGTAATTCGTGTCTTATTATACATTTTTACGTGAGATCCTATGTGCGTAAGAGTAACAGCTTGTTCTTTTAAGATTGATGACAACTTGTTGTTTATAATTGGTAGAAATAATATAATATACAGGTTGGTGAGTGGTGGGTGCAGTAACCTAAGTTCAATTCCTGGCCACTGCTAACATCAGTGATAAATGCGAAACCATTCTGGCCACTCCTTGACCAATCCACATAGGCCAGCATGGTGAAGTATGGTTATACCACACCCCGTGACAGACGCAACATGGGGAGGCCTTCAACTACCTGTGGATTTACTAAGGCCTATAAATAATTAAAATAATTATTTTATATATAAAATGGGACTGTAAGCATGGTAACTTTGAAAGTGCATTACATTTGTATGCGACAGCCTTCACAGTGTATGCCACGTATTGACCAGATCTCATTGCAGTTGTTGATTCAAACCATCAGGCCTGTCTGAATGAGGCCAGCGGTGAGCCTGCTCAACGCCAGGCTGCCCGGTTACTCGATCTCACCTCACGGTCGTCATCCTCGGCACACTGCTCTGCAGCAGCACTGGGGTCAGGCCGGATGAGCATCTGTTGGATGGCCCCCTGTATAAATAGAGCACAAGAGAAAAGTGTGTTTATAGCCTTGCTTGTGACACTTAAATTCAATTCCTAGCCATGGCTAACATTAGTAGCGAGTAAGATCTCAACCAATCCTGGCTCCACCCACCCCTTCATCAACCCACATGGATCAGAGTGATGAAGTATGGTCAAATGACTTCCATGACTGTCATGACTTTCATCCAGCAGTGGATTGACAAAGGGCTCTAAATTGTAAAGAATATATAAACTGACAAATCTGCTCATGCCAATCTAACATTTTTACAATGGTTACGCATTATTTTCCGTTCGAACATCCTGTCTCATACTGCCAAATTTTGGAGCATTTTTTTACATTGCAATGGACTTGTGTTACGTGGTATAAACATTTAACATTTCACGTGCAGAAAATAAAATGCCAATTGGCTGGTTTATCTTTCCAAAAGTGTGCATTCTCTGAATCACAGCTGAAAGGTAACCCCTGCTGACCAGAGCCTCTGAGCCTATAAACAAAACCACTTATTTTCCCATGCCCATCTCTGGTCCCACCAACGGCCAGACGCCCTCAGGCACGAGAAAACCATCCTTCCCAGGGGAGCCGGGAAACCAGAAGCCACTGGGGATCACTCTCTACATTCGTTGTGGATCGCTGGGGAAGTATGCGGGTTTGTTTTCTAGTTGAGGCATTTTCTGAGGGGCAAGACTATGAGTGGATGCATGAGCGGAATTTTGCATTGAGATCGTATATTTGCTTTGATGCATTCGACTGTCAGTCAATAAAAGAGTATCAATGCTGAGAATCAGCGAGGCCGAGTGGGGAGTTGGATATTCGGGAGTATTGTCCCATGCGTGGCTCCTGTATGAGACTTGGGAGCCAAAACAGAAGCTATCAAATGTGCGATTATGGCAAAATCTGTACAATGTATTTTATTTGAGTTGTATTATTACAATATGTTCTATACAAATACATTATTTTTAAGTGGAGGACTATTTTGAACAAACAAGTGATTTGAGGTAGTAGCTGTACTGCTATGGCTCTCACATAATCATTTAGACGTGTAATTTTCACCCTTTCACAGATCTTTCTGTAATTTTTTAGGAATACATTTTCAGATTTATTTGGGGATCCCTTCAGTTGACAATTTGATTTTTTATGACGAAAACATCTTAGTTTGCCTCCCTGAGCAACTCTAGTGGCATTCCAGGAAAGATTAACAATACAGCTTTGCTTCCCCGACATCCCTACCGATATCAATTGAAATCCCAGTGAAAATTTTTAAAGGGTCAAACGTACCACCCACGTACAACAGCAAGGATATAATGAATTACTATTATTATTCTTGCATCCATCAAAGGGGCAGAAAACGAGCCAGCTGCATAAGCATTTTTCACGCTTGAGGGAGGGACTAAGCTCAAAAGAACTCTAAAGAAGCACAAAGAGCAGCAACAGTGACGACAGCCAGTCCTCAATCTCACTTCCTTCATCCCGGTGGCACGCTAGTTACTGATTGAACAAGCTTGTTTTTAAACACATTCTGGCACACAATGGATTTCCCAATAATATCAGGGTGAGCATCATCTCAAAGCCACGGTTGGAGAAAAAAAAATTGTCAGCAGGAAAAAAAAATCGCCAGACCAGGCAAAGTCTGAATTGCTATAATATTAATGCTTCATCTCTCCTCTTTCCACCTCCTGCAGATATTTCTCAAATGTCACCATTGCCTAAATCTCCTGGTGCCCTTTTATGCCCTACCCCATGCCCCAAGAGCCCACCTTCGCCCATTTCAATGAAACAAATCCTCTCCCAGCTGCATAAATGCCATAGTCAGTCACCACTATGTGTTATCGTTCATGTTAATTATTCAGGAAATACTAAAGCATATCAAAATTATACCTGGAAAAAAATCGCTGAGGTAAACAAGACACCGGAAACCTCGCAGCGATGTTAGGACCACACGGTGGGATCCAATCAAAAGCATTTTCCTGACCCTAAATCCACCTCTCCATGGGCCAGATTTCAAATTAACAAGAGGATTCTGTTCTCGCCTAGCATTGCAATGCCGCGGGGGTGGGGTGGGATCAGCAACCGCACAAAGCCAGATTTCTTGTGAGCGGAATGACGGAGCATAATCCCACAGAGGAACATTTTCTCTGCTACTCGTATAATAATGGTGCTTCCTTCCCAACTGGATGTTCAACACTTGCGCCATTATGCACGGGCTGTGAGGTTGCCCAACAGATGTGGGATATTTCATGTGTTGGGAACCACGTTTTTCAGCAGGGGGGGTAACATGCGAAGTTTTAAAATCCTTCCACATTCACACCCTCTGCCCCCACGGGTCAATCCTGTACCAACACAAGCTCTTAGAATGCTCTACGCACAGTACCTTTTCAAAGTGGTCATTCAATGCAGCCACTGTATTCACACCAGCAACAAGAAAGCAGTGATTTGTTTCACTTGTGCCTCTACAAGCTCTGAGCCCAAAAAACATTTCCTAAATTCCTGTTACCTCCTTTGACACCGCCAGGCTGTCACCAACATAACCGTGCCAACAATGTTTAACAATCTATGCCTTTGTTTTAATTGCCCTTTCAAGGACAATAACTGTGCTCCAGTACTCCCTGCGGACTGAGGTATAGGCAGATATGTGAAAAGTTCAGATATGTGAACATATACAGTATAGAAAATTACAGTTACAACGTGCACAGATACCATTTGGGTATGGGCAGTTAGTTGGTCATGTCAGATATGGGAGAGTCGGATATATGCGACCATTTACTGTATTATCGGCTATGTTACATTTCTTGATAAAAAATATATATACCATATCAAACTTCCTTGAAATGGAAATGCTATTTACACTCAGTTACTAACGCTCTCTCTCTTTGCTAGGATAAGTTAAATGAGAGCATGTGGGGTACCAGTGGGGTTATGGGATGGATCCCACGCTTAACCTTGCCAATATGAGCCATCAGCTGTTGTGGAGCAAAGTGGACTCTGCACGGTTTAAATGGGGCAAAAAAAAAATCTCTCTGGCCAGAGGCCCAGCCAAACTTGCCACAAACTTGTCGGAGTCAGCATCGCCACCGTGTGCGATGAACACGTTGGCCTCCTCCTCGATGTCCAGGGGATTGCTGGAACGCTCGATGGCCGACCGCTCCACGAGTTTGCAGTCGAAGTAGAACGAGACCGTGTCGCCGTCCACAGACACCGCCATTCGCACCCAGCGGTTTGTCGCCACGGGAAGCTGTAGCGAGCAAACCACCGGGGACACGCGTGTAAGCGCTTTTGTCTTTTTAACAGGGGTGGCTGCAGACGACCAAGCTTCATTTAGACAAATGTACCTTCATTAGCACAGTTTAAAATGTTCTTTCATGTTTTGGAACATACGAGTGCCATGCAATGCATGGTTAGAAAATTATACAACTTCCCAAGCTTGCTTTATTTTAAAGAGCCTGTAGTATATTATTAAATAGATAAAAATATAAACAAGACATCAAAAGCATGCCTGAAGCCCCGCATCACGATCACGAGCAGAAATACTTTCATTCTTACAACGTATCTTTGTTTTTAATTTACAGTGCGATTAAGATGGGCCAAAGTGTGGGTGTCCCCACTTTTTCCAAGATGCCTGGCCAGCATAGTAGAGTAGGCCAAATACCCTCGAGCAGGGCTTTCTAGGGCTTCCTCGAGTTGGAGGCCCTTCCGGCAGCAGTGGTGTGCGCAAGACATTATAGGAGTGCTCCGTCACCTCAAGTGAAAACCCTCAAACAACTTCGTGATGGATTCTAGTACCGAGTTGTGATTCACTGTGTTAAAAAAAAGTGTACTTTGTTTATTGATGTTTAAAAAAAAAACAAGCTTCTGTGAGGAACTTTTATGCATGTGGCACAGGGGGGCCCGCCTCCCCCCATCCGTTCCCCCCCCCCCCCCTTACTGGGAAGGCAGCGGCAATGCGCGTGTCGGCAGTGCTCGACTCCGTGTAGAAGATCAGCAGCGTCTGCTCCCCATCCTCCACGGGCGACAGCTTGAGCCCGAGCTGCACCACCTGCTGCGACGAGTCCGTGACCGCGAAGAGGACGCCCCCTTCGTCCGACGAGGGCCGCACCGTCACCAGGATCGAGAAGTCCTGCGGGAACGGCTCCGGCAGGAAGTTCTGCGCCGGCCGGCCCACGCTGGCCTCCTCGGCAAACTGATAGGCAGGGAAGCCTTCGAAGCCGCTTACAAAGGAGACCGGAGCGGGCAGAGGCACGCCGACTATCTGAGTCAGGTCCACCTCATGCTCCTCACCTGCAATGGTGACAAAAAAAAACAAAGGGTGTGGGGTGACACCTCATCATTAGCCCCACCATAATAATTACTGTCCTCAGTGTGAAAGGAAGGAGTGGATACTCCTAAATATCTGAGTTAAATCCTGAGTCAATGAGGTAGGAATTTAAAGCAGAAATGTTGAGGCACAAAAAAGCTGATAGTGCAGTTTCAACAATATTTCATTGATAAATGATTAAGCATGTGAGTATGTGTAAGCCACCTCTAAACCGCAGTGTAGCCACTGCTGGAATTATTCATCTTAATCTGCGGTGACAGCGAATTAAAATGGTTTCAGTCCAAATAATTCCTTAGCTCTCAGAAGACAACTTATGGCCAGCACTGCATTTGCCAGAACAAAGAAAATAAAAGTGCTAGTTTCCTTCTTAAGTGTGAGTTTTTAGAGTAGAAATGGATTTAGTCGTTTCAAAACAACAGAAGCGAATCCCTTGCCAACACTTGGCAACAAAAAACAGAAGCACAAAGAATTCAATTTACATTTTACAATCCAAAGCAATAAATGCAAAGTGGACGGGTGTTTTGTAAGCAGACAAATGCCAGCATTTTTTTTTCTTAAGACAGGGTCAAACGGGATGTCTTCAAGCACTCACCACATGTCCATTAAGGCACAAGGCTACAAATGAATAGCAAACTTAGAGGCTTGTTTTTAAACACATCACATTATTGAACACATCATATTTGAAAGTGTAAACACACCACGTTGTTTCGTAGCTTGCAAAAGGTCAGATCCTTCAGAAGTGCAATTCATTGGGTAGAGCAATTACGGTAGTGAGCCCAAAGGTAAGATTGTGAGCATCTTGTAATCCAGTACAGTACATACAGTGAGGGAAAAAAGTATTTGATCCCCTGCTGATTTTGTACGTTTGCCCACTGACAAAGAAATGATCAGTCTAGAATTTTAATGGTAGGTTTATTTGAACAGTGAGAGGCAGATTAACAACAACAAAAAAACAGAAAAACGCATGTCAAAATGTTATAAATTGATTTGCATTTTAATGAGGGAAATAAGTATTTGACCCTCTCTAATCAGAAAGATTTCTGGCTCCCAGGTGTCTTTTATACATGTAACGAGTTGAGATTAGGAGCACACTCTTAAAGGGAGTGCTCCTAATCTCAGCTTGTTACCTGTATAAAAGACACCTGTCCACAGAAGCAATCAATCAATCAATCAGATTCCAAACTCTCCACTATGGCCAAGACCAAAGAGCTCTCCAAGGATGTCAAGGACAAGATTGTAGACCTACACAAGGCTGGAATGGGCTACAAGACCATTGCCAAGCAGCTTGGTGAGAAGGTGACAACAGTTGGTGCGATTATTCGCAAATGGAAGAAACACAAAAGAACTGTCAATCTCCCTCGGCCTGGGGCTCCATGCAAGATCTCACCTCGTGGAGTTGCAATGATCATGAGAACGGTGAGGAATCAGCCAAGAACTACACGGGAGGATCTTGTCAATGATCTCAAGGCAGCTGGGACCATAGTCACCAAAAAACAATTGGTAACATACTACGCCGTGAAGGACTGAAATCCTGCAGCGCCCGCAAGGCCCCCTTGCTCAAGAAAGCACATATACATGCCCGTCTGAAGTTTGCCAATGAACATCTGAATGATTCAGAGGACAACTGGGTGAAAGTGTTGTGGTCAGATGAGACCAAAGTTGAGCTCTTTGGCATCAACTCAACTCGCCGTGTTTAGAGGAGGAGGAATGCTGCCTATTACCCTAAGAAAACCATCCCCACCGTCAAACATGGAGGTGGAAACATTATGCTTTGGGGGTGTTTTTCTGCCAAGGGGACAGGACAACTTCGCCGCATGAAGGGGACGATGGACGGGGCCATGTACCGTCAAATCTTGGGTGACAACCTCCTTCCCTCAGCCAGGGCATTGAAAATGGGTCGTGGATGGGTATTCCAGCATGGCAATGACCCAAAACACGCGGCCAAGGCAACACAGGAGTGGCTTAAGAAGAAGCACATTAAGGTCCTGGAGTGGCCTAGCCAGTCTCCAGACCTTAATCCCATAGAAAATCTGTGGAGGGAGCTGAAGGTTCGAGTTGCCAAACGTCATCCTCGAAACCTTAATGACTTGGAGAAGATCTGCAAAGAGGAGTGGGACAAAATCCCTCCTGAGATGTGTGCAAACCTGGTGGCCAACTACAAGAAACGTCTGACCTCTGTGATTGCCAACAAGGGTTTTGCCACCAAGTACTAAGTCATGTTTTGCAGAGGGGTCAAATACTTATTTCCCTCATTAAAATGCAAATCAATTTATAACATTTTTGACATGCGTTTTTCTGGATTTTTGTTGTTGTTATTCTGTCTCTCACTGTTCAAATAAACCTACCATTAAAATTATAGACTGATCATTTCTTTGTCAGTGGGCAAACGTACAAAATCAACAGGGGATCAAATACTGTTTTCCCTCACTGTAGGTAAAGATTCAGCCCTCCAATTGCTGCTTCATGCCACTGCTGGGCAAAGGTCCACGAGACGGAGCTCTAAACAGCCCTTCCATAGGGTATTTGGTCTACTGTTTCACGCTGGCCAGACATATTGAATCAGATGGGAGTACCCACACTTTACCCCACCACACACTATCCTGCCAGTCGACCTAACTGTGGTTGTTCCCGTTTATGCTGCTGGGTGGACAGAGGCGACATTGAATTGATCAAGAAAAATTCTGGATTGCAAGTCCAGTGTGCTAAGCATTACACCAAAACACCATCAACCCAGTGTGTATCTGCCTTAGAACTTTAAATCGAAAGCCGGAAAGCATGCACATGTGTGAATGTTAATAAACTATGACCGTTTGTAGAGAAAATTAACCAATGCCACGATGAAAATTGGGCTGATTTTCAAAGTAAGGCTTTAGTATTTATTCTGTTTTGTTATGCCATTCAAATGCCGTAACATTCAAACGCCATGACAAAGTAATTTAAGGAGAGATATAATACTGGGAAATGGCTGTTTTAGTTTGGAAAGATAACTTGAGCTTTCTTATTATTCATTGCCCTCCTTAAGTGAGGAAGAATCCTCGATGGCAAACAGACTGGTTAAACTCAAGCAGTGGACAAAATATCGTTTTTGGATATGTATGAACTTGTGGACAAAATATAGTTTTTGGATATGTATCAACTTGCCAGTAAACACAACAATGGCCAAATAAAGTAATGCAATCTGAAATTCCTGTACACATGCACAGCTCAGTTAGCACAAATTGTAGTTTATCGCAACCACAAACGTTTTAAAGTATGGGGCTAACTCTGGCAATCTATACACATTCTCACATTACTCTGATTGCACTGAACTGTGATAAAAGATATGTTTGTGCTTATTTAATTATTTACAACAGCTGCCTATGAGTGTTGCAAGCTGCTCTTGAGAAGTTAAAATAGTTTATACAAAGGAAACAAGTAAAAACACACTTACCATTCGGACCATACCAGTGCAGTAGAGGGCAAGGTTCCAGATATGTTGGTAAGGCATCTTCGAGTGGCCCAACCGTAGAACCAACATAACTCATGCCATCAAGCTGACTTAGTAGGTCACCGTATCTCGCTGACACATCCTCGTTCCCACGCGTGTAGCCCTCACGCTGACCTGACGACTCCTCACGCTGCGAGAGGACAAACCTCTCGTCTGCAGAATTTCCATCTTTGGCCAAATCACCAGATTTGAATCCGCTACTTTCCTCCTCAGCGACGGTCGCCGGGCGGGCCGTGCTAAAATCAAGAGGTTGCGTGACGGCAGATGCTGAGACATCGCCGTGCAGTGTAGGTGACGGCGAAGGAGACGGCGCTGTCGTGGTTTCTTGCTGCCCACTCCACCGCTCCCAGAACCACTTCAGGTACTGGGCTTGACCCGTGCGGCAGAGGCTCAGCGCGAGAGCCAGGCACACGAGCGGTGGCGGACGCAGCAACTTCCCACGCATGTCTCAAAGTTGCCAAGCACGGCCGATTTTACACAAAGGCACAATTGTATGTACACAATTGTTCTCGTTTTAAAATCAAATGAATATACTAGTTCCTTGTTATTATTGGGGGGGGGGGGGTTTCAGTATATTACTAATCTGTTCGGGTTTGCAACTCGATGTTGATGTAAAGTTAATCTCGCAGCAAGAAGTACAAGTAATGCAGGTTGGCAGGGCAGCTTTAAATGTTCCTCTCTTTCTGCTTTGTTTAGGGCTAGTCTGAACTAAGAGCTCGACCATTCACGCACAGACAATGGAAATCAATGGTTTGGAAAACTTTAAAGAATTACTTTTTTTTACTCCTAGACACACCCCAAAACTCCAAACATTCACTCAGGTGGTTTACAGATGATTGTAGCCGTCGATACAAAATTTCTAAACTAAATTAATAAACCATTTCCTAAAAATAATTTCCATCTAGTTGCCTAACACCTGTGTCATATAACGCTGCAATATTCCATGCGAAGAAACACTCAGAGTGGTACCCACGTCACTTGAGAAGGTAAACAACTCTAGTCAAGACCCTTCTATTTCCATTGGACCCACGGTCGCAGATGCGTTGCCGCCTTCTCACAACCTTCTTCTCATGCACCCTCCAGAGTTTAATCACAGAGGTCCCATGAAAAGGCTAATGGGACCCCCCCCCCCCTCTCCTTGCCACGACGGAGTATACCATGTAGCTTTCGATTTTGGGTGGGGAAGCACAATATGCAATTGATCTCACAACCGGCTGGCTGAGCGCTTTTTGCACGCGGGTTGTGTGCGCTCACGACTCTTTCACGTAGCAAGGCCACATTTCTTGTTTCGCACAACTCTTTTCTTCTCGTTAAAAAAAAAAGATGAAACTTTTTTTTTAATCAAAGGACCTGGTTGGACATTTCCTCCTGCACCAAGCTCAGGCTAAAAATCGCACTACATTCATTTGTGCCTGCCCTCAGTAACACACTCTCACTGGTCTCAATTGATTTGGGCAAAACCATGCAAGCAGTTCCCCTGCCCTTTTCGGTTTCAAAAACAAAAAGCTTGAGGAAAGTGTGCGAGTTGAGTTGATGATGGTGCATTGGGCAGCCTCCAATCGTGGATCTCTCCACTGCTCTCTCCCCACCCAGACGCTACACCCCATTGGGGGAGCCTGGTGTTTGTGGTTGCCTTTATCCAATCGGGGGGGGCTGTGATGAAGGGGTTACCCTCGGTCAAGGCATCACTCCATAGAGAAAGGCCGAAGCCTTGGGTGGCAGGTCAGATTATCTCCAGCTTAACGCAGCCACACCATACTTTTACTGCAATCGGTCTCTCCCTTTCGTTCCATAATTACTGGACCCACACCATACTTGTCGATTCTGCAGGCTTGAGCGGGTAGCCTGCTGTTTTTATAGGCAAAAATAAAGGCATTAGGGGGAGGAAAAAAAATCCCACAAAATGTTATGAAACTCTATGGTTAGCTTTTAAAATCGGTATGCAGTACGGGATTAGAAAATTGGCAGCTGACCGCTTAAATTAGTAGAGTTGGCATGTATGCTACGCTCAAGAGGCAGCCTAACTTAACGTCTCAAATTCATTCCCAAGTGCGGTGTGCTTAGTGAGCGGATGTGCAATTTACAGAAGAGCCCTTTTTACTGTTGAAGGTTTATGCCCATGGCAGAGACAACTCCTGAATAGGGGCTGAGAAGAGAGACACTGAGGAAGAGTGCCTCACATTGCCTTCGTAAATACAAACTCACACCGGGCATTGTCCAAGGGAAGACTATGTGGATGCGAAAATACAGAGGAGTAAAAGTTTAATTCAGCCACGGTTGATATTTTCTACTCTTAGTACACAATTTTTTTTTTATTACATATGTATCACCAATTGAACAGCAGCCAACAAACTTTGTCCTTTCAAAACCCACTGCCATATTCATTGTGTAACTCGTGCCATTCATCAATCCTGGGATCCACACATGGATTCCAAGAGACCTGCATTCATTTCCCAGCCTTTCATGTCTTTTGCACTTCGTGAGACTACATTTTTCCAAAACAAAGGACTTTAAATGTGAATCAGAAATATCGACAAACTGCGGCATCATCAACCTATTTTTACCTGGGAACATCACAAAGCAATTACAGCAGTACGTGTGGTGTAGTGCAATTTGATTTTAGCAAGTGCTGTTTTAATGTTTAATTGATAAGTACACTTTGTTCTCTCATTTGTTCATTTCAGGGACATAATTTTCATTTACAATTCACATTGTTATCTAAGAGAGAATTGAAAAACTAAGCTCTATGAATGTGCTGAGAATGGCTAATGTGGTAAGTGGTACTCTTTAACCTAATCATAACCCATACCATGGCCAGTATTTAAAGCTAAGGGAACTAATTTATTACGGCTTATTTATTTTATAATTACATGAGTTGTGGGACATTTATAATGGTGCTGTGTGGAGTGCAGTGGTCACTGCACTGCTCTGTGGACCTGGAAACCTGAGTTTGATCCCCAGCAACAGCTAACATCACCACTGGTTCCCCCTCTTCATCACCCTCCACTGACCAGCCTGGTGAAGTATGGTCAAAACATTACCGCCCCCCCCACCCCTAAATATCCACCTCAAGATGGGGAACCCGTTATCCAGCAATCCATTGACGAAGGGAATTATTAGGACTTGTATTATTGCAATGTGTATATGTACCTCATGTTTATTTAGCTCGCATCAACCTCCTATTCAAGAAGGGCTATTCAGCATTCTCGATCAATCGCACGTTCGGGGATGAAAACCCGTCGGCATTTGACCTTTCGAAGGATAGCCGAGGACGTGAGTGTGGATGCCGCAACACAATTCGTGAAGCCTATAATTTATGAGACTCCCGTGTGCGTTCAGGGTCCAAGCGACGACTTGTAATGTTATACGGCTGCTTGTTACGGTGCCTCCTTTGGTTTAAAAAAAATATCGCAACGTTTACTGTGTAGGTTCAGGAGAGCCCGACAAGACACTCAGGTCAACCAACTACAGTAGCGCCATCTTGTGGTCATCACGGAAATATTTGAATGACCTTTACTTTCCACGTGGTCGTGGAAAGTAATACAAGTGGAGTGAGTCACTCAGAGACACTAATAGTAGGAGGCAGTCTGTTTATTATCGCCTTCACAGGTACAGGGAGTAACTACACTATGGTCAGGACAGCTAACAGGCTGCCTGACTAGCAACGCCGTGGAGCTGAATACGGTGACGAAGACTCATGCAGCATGACGGGTTCCACTCCAACCAACAGCCCCGAAACTTGCTCGGGGTCCCCCTTTTATCCACCCAGCGTGGCCTCTCGCTCCGCCTTCGGCCACGCCCCCCTTCTAGAACCTACTAGAAGGTTCCCGGCCTTTAACTCACGTGCCCCCTCTGTCACCTTTGCCCCACGTCCCTTTCTCTGGCTTATCACATGACCTGCTGGCAGACGGGGCTGCTACAACAACAGGTCCTCTTCTCTGCCAGCAACCAGCGCTTCGCGCCATAGTAACCCATGCCATGTCACGACACAAGTATACATGTACAGCCCTTTGTTAATCCGCTGCTGGATGAAGGTCTCCCCACGCCATGTCAGTCGTGGTGGTTGTTTGCCCATACTTCACCACTCTGGTCAGTGCAGGTTGCCGTAATGTTTCAGTCTTTAAGCAAAGCACTTTTTTTCATTCATAAGCACGTTTGGCCGTAAAAAATGTCAACAGAGATGTTAATGTTTAAAAAAAATACAATTAAGCAACGTGAGTGAATATATGGGAGAATGTACACGTATATGTAAAGCAGCCATCCCTCACATTTAATCATGAGCCTAGACCAGTTATTTCACTTTGTACCACATTTTATCATGTGCCTAGACCAGTTATTTCACTTGGTACCACATTTTATCACGAGCCTAGACCAGTTATTTCACTTGGTACCACATTTAATCATGTGCCTAGACCAGTTATTTCACTTGGTACCACATTTAATCATGTGCCTAGACCAGTTATTTCACTTGGTACCACATTTAATCATGTGCCTAGACCAGTTATTTCACTTGGTACCACATTTTATCATGTGCCTAGACCAGTTATTTCACTTGGTACCACATTTAATCATGTGCCTAGACCAGTTATTTCACTTGGTACCACATTTTATCACGAGCCTAGACCAGTTATTTCACTTGGTACCACATTTTATCATGTGCCTAGACCAGTTATTTCACTTTGTACCACATTTTATCACGAGCCTAGACCAGTTATTTCACTTGGTACCACATTTAATCATGAGCCTAGACCAGTTATTTCACTTGGTACCACATTTAATCATGTGCCTAGACCAGTTATTTCACTTGGTACCACATTTTATCATGTGCCTAGACCAGTTATTTCACTTTGTACCACATTTAATCATGTGCCTAGACCAGTTATTTCACTTTGTACCACATTTAATCATGTGCCTAGACCAGTTATTTCACTTGGTACCACATTTAATCATGAGCCTAGACCAGTTATTTCACTTGGTACCACATTTAATCATGTGCCTAGACCAGTTATTTCACTTGGTACCACATTTTATCATGTGCCTAGACCAGTTATTTCACTTTGTACCACATTTTATCACGAGCCTAGACCAGTTATTTCACTTGGTACCACATTTAATCATGAGCCTAGACCAGTTATTTCACTTGGTACCACATTTAATCATGTGCCTAGACCAGTTATTTCACTTGGTACCACATTTTATCATGTGCCTAGACCAGTTATTTCACTTTGTACCACATTTAATCATGTGCCTAGACCAGTTATTTCACTTTGTACCACATTTAATCATGTGCCTAGACCAGTTATTTCACTTTGTACCACATTTAATCATGTGCCTAGACCAGTTATTTCACTTGGTACCATATTTAATCATGTGCCTAGACCAGTTATTTCACTTTGTACCACATTTAATCATGTGCCTAGACCAGTTATTTCACTTGGTACCACATTTAATCATGTGCCTAGACCAGTGATTTCACTTGGTACCATATTTAATCATGTGCCTAGACCAGTTATTTCACTTGGTACCACATTTTATCATGAGCCTAGACCAGTTATTTCACTTGGTACCATATTTAATCATGAGCCTAGACCAGTTATTTCACTTGGTACCACATTTAATCATGAGCCTAGACCAGTTATTTCACTTGGTACCATATTTAATCATGTGCCTAGACCAGTTATTTCACTTGGTACCACATTTTATCATGAGCCTAGACCAGTTATTTCACTTGGTACCATATTTAATCATGTGCCTAGACCAGTTATTTCACTTGGTACCACATTTTATCATGAGCCTAGACCAGTTATTTCACTTGGTACCACATTTTATCACGAGCCTAGACCAGTTATTTCACTTGGTACCACATTTAATCATGTGCCTAGACCAGTTATTTCACTTGGTACCATATTTTATCATGAGCCTAGACCAGTTATTTCACTTGGTACCACATTTAATCATGTGCCTAGACCAGTTATTTCACTTGGTACCACATTTTATCACGAGCCTAGACCAGTTATTTCACTTGGTATCACATTTAATCATGTGCCTAGACCAGTTATTTCACTTGGTACCACATTTTATCATGTGCCTAGACCAGTTATTTCACTTGGTACCACATTTAATCATGTGCCTAGACCAGTTATTTCACTTGGTACCACATTTTATCACGAGCCTAGACCAGTTATTTCACTTGGTACCACATTTAATCATGTGCCTAGACCAGTTATTTCACTTGGTACCACATTTTATCATGTGCCTAGACCAGTTATTTCACTTGGTACCACATTTAATCATGTGCCTAGACCAGTTATTTCACTTGGTACCATATTTTATCATGAACCTAGACCAGTTATTTCACTTGGTACCACATTTAATCATGTGCCTAGACCAGTTATTTCACTTGGTACCACATTTTATCACGAGCCTAGACCAGTTATTTCACTTGGTACCACATTTAATCATGTGCCTAGACCAGTTATTTCACTTGGTACCACATTTAATCATGTGCCTAGACCAGTTATTTCACTTGGTACCATATTTTATCATGAACCTAGACCAGTTATTTCACTTGGTACCACATTTAATCATGTGCCTAGACCAGTGATTTAACTTTGTACCACATTTTATCATGTGCCTAGACCAGTTATTTCACTTGGTACCACATTTTATCATGAGCCTAGACCGGTTATTTCACTTGGTACCACATTTAATTATGTGCCTAGACCAGTTATTTCACTTGGTACCACATTTAATCATGTGCCTAGACCAGTGATTTAACTTTGTACCACATTTTATCATGTGCCTAGACCAGTTATTTCACTTGGTACCACATTTTATCATGAGCCTAGACCGGTTATTTCACTTGGTACCACCTGAGATGGCACAGCTTTGTGTCATTGTGTCTATGTGGCCAATAACATGGGATTACGTGATAACCATTTGAAATGAGTGAGGTAATAAAGTAAATTACTTTTATTAGTAACGTAAATAAATCGGCACCCTAAACGTTTTGCTACCTTTGGCGATACCAATTACCGCTCTGACCCATAGACTAGGTCTGTCATGAGCTATACGGAGGAAAGCACGTTTGTCAGTTTCTACCCACTCCTGGATGAAGGCCTCTCTAAGACGTCGCCATCTCCCACAGCTCTGCAATCCGACAATCCATCTCGCTGTTGCACATAAGCTGATTTCGTCGCTCCATCTCCACGATGCACGGGCTCTTGGCCATGCTACTCCTTTAGTGGCCACTCCCTCGTAAAGTCTCGACCACCGATCATCGTCCCTTCAATGTAAATTAATGCAGTCATGCGTCCGTCCTGCCCCAGGCCACTTTACTCAATTGAGAAGGCAATCATTACGTCTCTCACTTGCATTTACGCTCTGATCCGTGCATTTATATTTCTGTAACAAGCGTGCACCTCTCCATGCTTCTTCGCACTCTTCAAATTTTGTTACGTGTCTTGGTAACTGGCCATATTTCTAATACATATGCAACAACAATACAAGACATACATTGATTTAATTAGTTTTTCTTTTACATGTTGGTAAGTTGCTTTTTATTA